CAGAAGCAGATGGGCATGACTTGGGCTCCCTGGGCTGGGCTGACCTAAAATTGTTCTAACCAATGTTAGACCTGCTGAGGCTACAATGGAGCCTTGCTAAACAAACTCGCTGACCAAAATCTTATGCAACTGCTACCGTTTATCTTAATTTCTAAGCTACTTGAAATCTTCTTTTTACTGATTTCCTGTTCCAGGCTCCTGCTGAAGCTCTTCTCTGCTTTTACGGCAAAACTCTTGAACCATGCCTGGCTTATCTAACTGACTAGTCAAGTATAAAATTCTTAGGCTTCTGGACAGGGGTGGGCGATACGGCCTAAAATCAATATCACCGTAAATTGAGGAGTTCACCTCGATATCAATAAATAGATGATGACAACATATATGTGCAAAAACAAGAGTTGTCCACTAGTTGGGGCTGTCACGTGTATTACTTTGAGTCACATTGTCATGTGACTCAAGGTGGAACAGCTTCTTAAAGCCAGAAATGTTGCCAACCCACACGCCTTTCCCTTATCTTTATTACCGAATGTATTGGCATGGAAAAAATGATATTGGTAAGAGTTAGAAATTTCAATAACGATAAATTTTCAATTTATTGCCCTGCCCTAGTTCTAGAACCAAAAAAAAAAAACTTGTTAGGGCTCACAATGGCCCAGGAGCCGTGCTAAACGGCCAAATACAACCCTGTATTAGGCATGTTTCCACTATTAAAACTTACTGGGTAATTTTACTGGAACTTCCTGGCAATCACGTGTCTCCACTTCACTGGCCTGACCGAATGGGCTGTTTACAGGGGCCTTTTTCAGGAACTAACAGAGTACTTGAAAAGGGGTAGGTACTCGGGAAGGCCTGGCAGAGTAGCTGCACTGAACTTTTGGTTAACTCCCCGATTGGTTGTAACTCAGTGGGAAAGAGAGTTGTTTGTGAACCAGAATGGAAGCTCAAGCATGTAAGCACCATTTGCACTGCTTTAAAATCGCCGTTAATAAACTTCCAACACCAAAAATGCAGTGGAATTCCCCCCACAATGACGTAATTTACGTGGCTTTGTTGTCTTTCAGAGCATTGTGAAAAAAGCACTTATGTTGGTCATTGAATGCCACATTTTATATCACACAGCTGCTCTTCCAGTCCTACGAATGGATTAAATTGCTGTACTTCAACGGAATAAAACTTTTACTGTTATTTTCGACGCTTTTTTGAGTTGATCAGCAACATAACTCACGGCCAAAGCAGTCGCGATATGCTGACGTTTGCAAAGTCCTGAAAGGGCTCAATTTGCGTGGAGACACAACAGATGAGAGGACAGGGCCATCGTATCTCCTGGTCAATATCTCCCTCCCAAAAATTTCCCTGAAATTTTGACAATGGAAACATGCCTAATAAAGCCCTACAACGGAAACACTGGTTTTCCCCGCTCACTCAGCCAGGACATGACTATTAAAGTAGCTACGTGCTGATTGGCCATGTTACTACGACGTCTACATATGTTGCCTGAAACTAGGTGTATCTGGATAATTCAGAATAATACTGTATAATTCAAAGCTGTGGATCTGTCTGACATTCATTTAAAGTTTGGATATTTCCAGTGCATCCTGTAATGTTACAAATATGCTCCGACATTCTTTGTTCGTCTCTCCAACATGTTCTCACACCCTAAGCGTCGAAAAATGACGCGTGTGACCAAGCGTCAAAATATGACGAGCAGGGTGCCCCAGAGCGTCGGTATCCGACGCCCGCGGTCACACGGACATTTGACCGATTTGTGATCTTAACCCTCTTGCTATTTAACCTTCCCCTCACCCCCATTCTAACCTTAACCAGCGTGCGCATGCAAGGCTTTGTTTTGCGTTCCGTTGTTCCTCTCAAACACGCTTAATTGACAGTTTACACAGACATACTGGGTTAAGATTGGATGGGGTGAGGAGAAGGTTAAATCACTAGAGGTTCGAGGTGAAATGTCGGTTAAATGTGTGTGTGACCGCGGGCGTCGGATATGGACCCTGCGGCACATCGCGTGACGCCGCGTGTCCCTGCGCGTCCTCTCCCGACGCTCTGGGGCACCCTGCTCGTCATATATTGACGCTTGGTCACGCGTCATTTTTCGACGCTAAAGCCTGGTTTATGCTTCTCCGTCAGCTCCGCAAGGGACAGATACGCACGGATTGACGGAAGCGTTTTGCTCTTTTACTTCTCCGTCTCCTGGAGAGTGTTGCAAAGCAATTGCCCGGCAGGACCACAGAGGGCGTGGCGCTGTTCTGTGGTATCCTGTCATGTATCCGGTCCAAGATCGTTCGTTTATATTGTGTTTTTTGTGTGTATAAGAGACTTTTAACACGGACATATTTGTCTCTCATTCTCCCACCTCTTCATGCGCTCCTCACCTCTAAACCCACGTTTCCTGTCATTTCCGTCCACAAATAAAACGCTTGCTGCGCATCTTTTCACTCCTCCAGTCACGGGAGGATGAAACGTTCATATTTTTAGAGTTTTTTCGCGAGGTATTCTTCAAGCTTCTCCATGTCTGCCGCTTGTTATCCTCGGCTCTCTTTGCAATGGCGGCGCTGTAAACAACAGCGGCGTCCTGACCAATCACAAGCTTGCGTAATCCGTCTCGTTCGACGGATGTTTAAAAAAGTGGGCTCGACTCCGTACGTACTTGCGTGCCTGTCGGATCCCTACGCAAGGACGGATAATGGCGTTGCGTGTCTCCGCTCTGACGCAGACGGAGAAGCATAAATCAGGCTTAAGGGTGTGAGAATGTGTTAGTCTCTCGTACAGCAAGGAAATTAGCTCTAGGTTGGTCTAGCACTAGCAGGATCTCGGGCTAGCATTAGCAGTAGCTCAGGCTAGCATTACCGCCACCACCAACAAAGTATATTTGCAGTTTTGAATTCTAGATCCCCTTTAAAAAAATACCTAAATGCCACAAAAATATTTTGATACCATCTTTTAGTTCTTTTTAAAACACAGAAAGGTTTTATTTACCTGTAACCTTTCGTATGCAGCTGCAAACTTCGTCAGGCTGCCAAAATAATAGTAAAAGTTTTATTCTGTTGAAATGTTGCAGGTAAATAAAACCTTTTTGTGTTTTAAAAAGAACTAAAAGACGGAATTAGGATTTCAACACAGCAAGAACACACCAAAGATATTTAAAGAAAAATATTTTGATACATTCATCCTAATTATGCCTGAGCATTTTATACATCAACATTAATTTTAGGTATGATAAAAGTAATTTTGCCTGCTGATGTAATACATGTAAGTGTAAATTGTGAACACTATATTTCCCAACAAAATGAAGGATCATCTTTTTTTTTATCTTAATTTTAAATGAGATTATTGTAAATTATCTACGACTTGCAGCAACTCCTTAAAGGGGAACTAGGCAGTTTTGACTTGCTTATAGCACACCCCTAGTGTCCATTTGTAGAACGGAAAGTAAAACCTATCTCCTCGCTGTGCGTTTGTCTTTTTAACACGTAGATCTAACAGCTGAAATGTCTCCCCAGCCTTACTTAGTGTCTACAGGAGTGATTCATCACTACCAAAGCAAACAAATCATCTGTGTTCATGATCTAAAACATGCAGGAAATGTGCTGGAGCCAGACTCCAGCGACAGATATGTCCCAACAGAGCAGCTCACCAGGATGAAGTTGCAAGTGGAACACTGTAGCAACGGGGCTGGGTGGCCTTTTATTAACCTTTAAAATGTCATTTTAGCACATTCTGGCTCAAGAAAATGATAAAAAAAAATATTTTGATGAGCGTATACTACCGTGCCAACATTTAGCAATGAAAAAATATTTTCATGGAAACATGAATTTGTTTTAATGGAAATATTTAAGATGTGGTTTTTTTTTCAAACTTTTCAGCTTGGCAGACCTTTGGTATTCTAGTTGCCAATTTTTCAAGATGATCTGATTAGATTTTACTACTTCCTGAAGTATTTCCTATTACACAGATTGACATGATAGAGATTTCCTCGTATTGTTGAGCTGTTACCACACAGTTCAATATAGATCCAGATGACTGGAGACAACTCTGGCCTTACACATACAAACTGACTGCTTATTTTTTAAATGTTGCAGACACACAGCGGCGTGTTTCTGGTTATTATCCTGCTGCAGGATGAAACTGGACCAAATCCGTCAGTCCACAGGCCTTCCTTCCTCAAATCTCCTACATTGCAAACTCCAAAACTCCCCTCTAAAGACTTTGATATGATACAAATAAATTCAGAATTACATATGTGACACTGCTTTAGTTGTGATTAAACTGATCTAGCATGTGCACAGCCAGCAGGAAACACTTCTACCTATGATGTAAAGCTCTACCTGTCCACCTACCTGGGCTCAGCTCATTGTGTGTGTTTGTGTGTGCATGTGTGCTGCAAGAAGGCCTGAGACATTATTAGTGGCACAGTGCTTAGCTTTATGTGAAACAGAACATTACTCACCCACCTCCAGGCACCAGAGAAGTGCACAGCTCAAATCAAGTCTCTGCACAGTGATTCACAGCTTGAATAGACTTGCATAACAGCCAGATCCATATTGTCTGTTGCTGTAGTTTAGTGTTTATTACATCTCATTATGAGTGCTGCAGATCTGGGTTCAGGCTGTGAGGATGGGACAGACAGCATCAGTGTCCACTGGTCTCCACACAGCATGAGGGATGACTGGATTGACCCACATCCATCTAAATGAGTCAAATAAATGCGTGTAATAAATGTGTGATGAAGATGACACGAGGAAAAACTGCTTGGTGAATGATGAACACACAAACAGGAATTCCTTTGGGATTTAAAGTAACGCGACAGGGATGTAATGGCTTCAGCAGAGATCAGTGTTATTATGGGGAATTATTTGTAATCGTGACTCAATCCACTGCAGTGGGTCTAAACCCGATGACACACAAACAAGCTGCAAACATGCCGCGTTTTCACATCGAATCTCGTCGCATCTCCACCTCACAATGTTTATTCCAGACAGACAGCCTACCTTCGGACAGCTCCAGGTCCAGCTCCGCCAGCTGGTCCCTGACCTCTTTAGGCAGAGCCGACAGATCCACACCGCGGTCCGTCATCGTTGGAAGCGCCGCAGCCTTCGAGATGTTTGTGATCATTCAAACGGCAGCAGCAGGTCCAGGTCCGGTGGCTACGGCAGCTATTAGGATGCAGAAGATGTGTTGTTTACTCCATCTCCGCGGCTCCCCGACACCGCCATGACTGTAGAAGGGAGCAGCTAGCTGGAGGAGTCGTTCGGTCACGTGACCGAGGAGGATGAGAACCACAACAGGGGAATAAAAACCGGACTTCCTGCTCCCTCTGCTGTCCTGTACTTGGTTGTGTTGGGAAACATCAGGGATGTATGGGGTGTCGCTGTAACCAGCAATATTTTAGGCCTGTCATGTTAGGAATAAATTGGGGTTGTGCCCTAACCACGGAACCACACAGGATGTGGACCTGCTCCAACCTAAGGCTCAGGTTAAACGTATGTGACCTGCAGGACCTGCAGCTTTCCCGCTTCAGTTCTCTCCTCACCTGGTCAGACTCACTGGCACCACTCCGTCCACTGTGACCTGAGATGTTTCTAAGGCCTCTCCACGTACCACGAGCATTGTTCTGCCCAGCTGTTTATCCAGCTTTTTTCTGTAGCTGTCTTTAGCCCATCTGATCTTATATTTAAGCTCCTTCTGGACTCGTCTTTGTCACCAGCCATAAAAGCTTTTTGCTTATGGTTCAGCATCAGCAGGAATTTCAGCTCAGGGGTCAACCAGGGTTTAATACTCGAGAAACACCTATTCTCCAAAGAAATTCACATAATCGGTGACACAATGGGTCAGACTGTCAAGGTCATCACCAGCGCTGTAGAGTGTCTCCCAATCTGTCTTTTAAAATAACCCTTCAGCCTTTCTGTGGCTCCCTCAGTCCACACTTTCACAGTTTTTTTTCTGAGGAGGCTCCCTAATCACCCTGAGTGTGTATTTGAGGATCAGATTAATGAGATTGTTGTCTGAGCGGGGAAGGGTAGTGGGATTGTATGCGTTTTTACATTAGCATACAGAAGGTCAACTGTCTTATTGTCTTTCTTTCATTTTCAATTGAAAACCAAAAAGAAAACAGAAAACTAAAAGTTTTTTTGTGTTTGTTTTTGAATTACAAGGTCTTGTTTTTCACAGTTTCTAATTTAGTCTCAAATCAAAAATACAAAAAGGAAAAACAGGTTGCATAACCAAAATTTATTTTAATGTTAACACACCAAAGGGATGAGTCAACAAGCTCCCCTCCCAGGATGGCTCCACGAGGGGGCAGTTTGGGGTAATCTGCCCCTAATTGTCGTCCTTCATCAGGAAGGTCTTTGTCAGAGTCTTTGAAATTCCACCAGATGCAAAAGGCGTCGTGAAATGGCCTAGAAATGTATTGGGCGGCAATTAGCCGCCATTATAGTGGACTGGTGCCTTCCCCCCAGCCATGCAGCGTCACGTTTTGGAAGCATCCCCGAAGCAAAAGGGTGCATTGCTAACGTTTAACGTGATGACTAATGGGACTTTAACTTTACGTGCTTCACTTCAGGACAGTGCTTCGTTGGCCAGAGGGGCACCAACCATTCTGGCTTCTAAAAAAACAACAACTGTTGTCAGAGTGGATAGGTGCAAGCCTCCTATTGGTTAATTACTGCATGCACTATTATCGTTCAGCTGGCAACAACGAGTTGCTTCTCATTTCCTAAAAAAACATGTGGAAAGACATATCTGGTGGTCGTGGAAAAGATGTTATTCTGTGTCTGAGAAGGGTCAGTCATCTAGCAGAGAAAACATCTAAGGAGATTGCAGAAACGACTAAAACCGGGTTAAGAACTGTCCAAAGCATGAATAAAAACTGGTCTGATGAGTCCAGATGGACCCTGTTCCAGAGTGATGGTGCACCAGGATAAGAAGAGAGGCAGATGAAGTGATGCACCCATCATGCCTAATGCCTACTGTGCAAGCCTGTGGGGGCAGTGTTATGATCTGGGCTTGCTGCAGTTGGTCAGTTCTAGGTTCACCAACAGGATGTGCTCCAAGAATGAGGTCAGCTGACTACCTGAACATACTGAATGACCAGGTTGTTCCATCTTCCCTGATGGCACGAGCATATTCCAAGATGACAATGCCAGGATTCATTGGGCTCAAATAGTGAAAGAGTGGTTCAGGGAGCATGAGGCATCATTTTTTATACATTGATGGGCCACCACAGAGTCCAGACCTTAATCCCAATGAGAATCTTTGGGATATGCTGGAGAGGGCTTTAGGCAGCGCTCAGACTAAAATCATCAATGCAAGATCTTGGTGAAACATTAATACAACACTGGATGGAAATAAATGTTGTGACATCGCAGCTTGTGAAAAAAAATGCCACAGACAATGTGTGTCGTAATCAAAGCTAGAGGTGGTCCAACACAATATTAGAGTGTGTGACTTTTTTAGCTGGGTAGTGTATGCTGTTGTTAAGAAATTGAGAATTCATATTTCAAAATAATCTCTGGTTACAGAGACTCCAACCAGAGCAACAGAAGAAAAAAAAAACCTAACAAATGTTTTACATTAATTTATTAATTAGTTGACTATACACACATATTTTTCTCATCTTGAGGCCTGAGTATTGGGCAGACTAAGTCCAAACATACCACAAACACATCATTCACGTCCTCTTGTTTAGATAAGCCTCAGTTAAACAAAGCAAAAACAAATAAACAATATCCCGTTGGACAATTAAGGTGGCAGAAAAAAATCCTCAAATTTCCCACAGAAAAAAATAAAACCCTTTAAAGAAACTGAAGGACAAAAAACCCAGCAAGTTTGATGAATAAAAACACTTAAAACATAAGAAGCACCTTGCACCAAATATGAGTTTTTTTTTGTGTGTGTGTGTGACACGAGACTACTTTTATGGTGAAAGGTTCTCAACAACAGAGCATCTGCAACTCTAAATGTGCACTAATTAATCCACAACTCAAGTACTCCATCTTTACATTTGCTTTGGTCACATTAGAAGTAGATTCTGACTGAAACAGACCAAACCCCTCCAAGTATCTGGAGCAGACATGCCATCTCTAAACAAAAACATTGTTATCCAATAGAAAAATATATATTGCACTATTCTTTGCTCATCTGAAATGGCAGGGTAGAAGGGTGTAAAAGCCATTATGTTGGACTAGCATGATTTAAAAGTTGAACCTGTGTGGAACTCTTACACACCTAGAACATGACTGCACCAATCAACTGTTATTGAACAGAACAGCAACTGTATATTGATTTACATACAATCAGTGGTATTCTTTAGCCTCGAATAGTTCATGCAGTCAAAAGGGTTCGATTGAAAAGAAATATCACAACATCCATTCTAAATGGGTCGAAATACATGATTAAAAAGAAAAGGTCTTTCAACCACAGGGTGGGCAGCTGACTAAACCATTACGTGTTTTTTTAATCTAAAAACAAACAAACAAACAAACACAAAGAAAAAAGAAACAGGTTGAACAGTAAACAGAAGGAAACTTCCAAGACCACCTTTAACTGCAGTCAGTCCATCTTGCACCAGATCTGAACTGCACAAGCAAGACATCATGTGAACATCATGTTTTAAGAATAAAAAATACTTTTTTTTACAAATGGAAAAAAACAAAAAAACACATTTAAAGTTCAATAGCCAGCCTGTCAAATAAAATAATAAAACCTCATCACAGCCAGTGTGTGGGATAAAACTGGACTGATGCTTTATGAACTGAAACAAAAGTAAATGATTAGCTGATAAAAACTAAATCCATCCGTCTTCCTCATCTAAAACCTTGTCAAGACACGACCCCGAACCCTGCAGAGAAAGTGTTGGACATGTTTATTTCATATTTACATACGCAGAGCGATGAAGCTTCTCTGAAAAGGGAGACTGCTGGGAGGGGACAACGGGGAGAGAGAGAGAGAGGGAGGGAGGGAGGGAGGGAGGGAGGGAGACTGCGCCATGTTTTTGTGTGATTATCGTAAGCTGTGGAGGGAGAGAATCCTAGTTATGGGGTGAGGGTGGGTCCTTCACTAAAGACTTTGCACCGGTCTGAAGTCCTCTGAAAACCACCCAAGTTCATTCTAGCTGTCCCTTTCTCCCCAACACACATCATCTTGGGGCTGGCTGTGGCTGCGTTGCCAAGACAACCCCTCCCGACCCCATGCCGGCTAAAACCGACATGGCCACCGCTTCTGCAGCGCGGACACTCAGCCCGTTTATGGTGGCGCCCGGGCTGGAAGCCGAGGCTGGGGGCGACGGCCTGTGCTGAATGACTGCCGCCGGGGAGCCGATGGGTTCGGTGGAAACGTCCCTGGAGGTCTCGTCTCCTCCTGCAGCTACAGACAGACATAGCAACATTCACCCTTAAGAGAGGTGAGCGAGTAAAAATAGCACATTAGATGGAGGAGGTGATGGATGAGACCTGGTACAACAAGTGTGTTCTTGATCTGGAATTCTCACCTAAGAAAGCTGTCTTCTTCTGCATGACGGTGACGGGGCAGTCTTTGTGAGCTAGGAGGAGCTGTTTCAGCTGTGCCACCTCGTTCCTCAACAGAGTGACTTCATTCTGATGACGACATGAACACACACACCACACCATCTTTAGACGGTCTGGCCTACAGCTAGGTGCAATGGAGAAAAATAGTGTTTGATCTTCATTATTAGCAACATATAGTTTCAAATTAACATTATTGCATCTGTTTTGGTGCTGCCCTACATTTTGTAACTCATACCACAGCGGAATAGCAAACCTGTATTATTACCCCCTATTCCCTTCTTATCCTTCTAAAATCATGTTTTATGGTGTTTCTCATCATCTAAAAAGTTACTTATTATATAATAAATTAATAAAACTTCAACAATCCAAAATAAAAATATACAAACATGTAAGAAATAAAGCAAATAAACTTCTTGTATTTTGGTGCCATAAAATCTTTTTGTAAAATTCTAGAGTGTAAAGTATCACATTTTTAAAAGCGCTTTATTAAAATGTATTACGTAAGATATCAAAAAAAAAAAACCCACACCGTTATTCTTCTTAAGGTTGTTTTTTCTCCCCTTCAATAAAACGATCTTTTCTGACTAGAACCTAGAAAAGCAACGCACGGTTAAGGAGACGTTCATGCTGGCCATGTCCTCCGCCTTTTTCTCCAACGAGTTGACCCACAGCTTTCGTTTTTGTCTGCAGCGTGACGCTGCCGCCCGGTTTCTTTCCAGGAAACGCTGCCTCCTCTCATCAGGGTCCATCTCTGAAGCACGCCGCCGCCGTCCCCCTGTAGGCTGAGCAGGGGACACCTGGAGAAGGGGGGGGTAAAGTGGGCTACTCAGACATATGATCATGCACTGGGGCTTGTAATATGCATCTCTCATACTGCTGTCAGTGAGACAACAGTACTTACCTCCTAATCATGCAACTCAATAGCCTTTTTTACTAAGAAAACCTTATTTGCAGTTACTTCTTATTTGATGTGCACATAATAATAATAATAATAATAATAATAATAATAATAATAATAATATTAGCCAAGCCTGAACCTCAATCACTAAGCTGGCTGCAGCTTCTGACTTTTTCTCATATACTACACGTCCAAGGCTGCACTGAACATGTACAAAAGAACCACGTTCTTCCCTGTCAAACAAAAGCTTCTTCTACATCGCGGTGTGGCTGTAGGTCTGATCGATGAGGGGAATGTGTTACTGCACCTGTGGTTGTGCGGGTGATAGAGCATCCGAGTTTTGAGAGGGCTGTTGACTCTGTTCCTGCCTCTGGGGAACAGCAGGGATGGATCCTGATCCACCACCTGCTCCATCTTGTGTTCCCGGGCCTTGATGTGACAGAGCGGCCTTCAATCGCTGCAAAGACACCAAAAAATAAATCAATCAATCAATAAATAAAAAGAAAATAACTAACTCTTCATTTAGCTTAAATGATGTCAAGAAAGAAATAAAGAAGGAAAGGTGTGCATTTTGATTGTTTTTTCTTTTAATAATAACAATTTGACAGTTTTTGCTGGAGCTTATCGACAAGAAAATGAAGTGATCTCACCAGTTTAGCCTCAGAATGAAGACCATAGCCAGATGGGGAGGATGAACCACTACTGGCTCCTCCAACAGGGGGTCCTGGAATCCCAGGGATGTTAGGCACTGTGTTCATGGGCCTCGCAATCTTCACATTACAGCAAATGTCAACAAGGGGAAAAGAAACAAACAGGAGGGTAAAGTACCATTTCAAACACAAGCTGCTGTAGATTTCTTCTAGACGGAGACGTACAGAAATAACTGAGGTAAGCTGCACAGGGCTGGGCAAAAGAGGAACAGTCTGCCCGTTTGGGAGATGCCTCACCAGTGGATATGCACTCGTGGGGGATCTGTTGAGAAAATGAAACAATGTAAACAAAAACACTGCCTCAAGACAACAATCGTCAATAATTACAGAAAAGAACACGATGCAACTTACCCCAGCTGTCTGTTGGAAGGTGGAGCTTGTGTGATTACGGATGTGGGAGAAGGAAGGGTCGGTTGTAGTGAGTCGTTGCTTAAGTGCAGGGGGAGAGAACCTGGACGCACAATAGTTGGAGTGGGAGCCGAGTTCACCAAAGGTTTTGTGAGAATCTCCTGTTAACAAAAGCATAGCTGAATTTTAACTACATGAACAAACACTAACTCTGTAGAGAAAGTGTTTTTATTCTTACCCTCGAGTCTCTGCTGTTGTCAGACATGCTGGACGAGGAGCCGGGGCTTTCAGGAGGAGAAGAATCTACCTCTAAAGGAGCCTCTTCTTCTTCTTTTATTTCAGATGGTGTTTGTAACGGCACAGGCTTAAAAAGAACCAACAAAAACAGCAAAAATTAAAAGGTTAGACATTTCAGAGCACCTTGAAAAAGAGAGCCTGTTGCTGAAATAATCTAAGAGAATCAACAGTATGTGATTATTCAACATCGGTCCGTTTTCCTTACTGGGTGTTTTGTTCTCTGGTCGTCTTCCTGTGCTTTGCTGAACTCATGTTCAAAAGAACTGGCCAGCTCATTGAATAGACCAACCTCCTCACAGTTCTTCAGGAAACGGGTGGGGGTGGGGGTCTGGTCTGCAAAAAAAGTTAGTTATATGTGTAAGGGCATCATCTTCAGCCAAGCGGACACACCACTGTGCCTGCAGAACAACGGCAAATATATAACTATTTCTAATTCTAGTTGTAAAAGTATAATAATAAAATAAATTACCTTGAATGATGACAGAATCTGTCCTGGCGGGACCAAATTTTAATGTCATTTCATGCTTGTGTTTGTGCACTGACAGGTGGTCTTCATTTGTGAATCTCTGAACAAAGAAGAAAGGTTTTGGGTCAGTATAAAGGATTTTGTAAGTAGATGCAACAACAGCGTGACAAAAACCACATTAAAATAATAGATTTACAACAGATTTTAGATAAACAACACCTGCTACTTGACAAATGGTCATGAGTGAAACTCATCACTTATTTGGAGAAATTAAAACACAAAGTTTTATCAAAGTAATTGGATGAGGAAATGTTTTATTTATTTTTTCATTTCAAGATTACATTTAATAGATTGCTTTCATAGAGAGGAGCCAGTTGAGGTGGCTCGGGCATCTGGTCAGGATGTCTCCTGGACGCCTCCCTGGTGAGGTTTTCCGGGCACGTCCAACCGGGAGGAGACCTAAAGGTAGACCCAGGACACATTGGAGGGACTATGTCTCTCACCTGGCCAGGGAACGCCTTGGGATTTCCCCGGAGGAGCTGGCCCAAGTGGATGGGGAGAGGGAAGTCTGGGCCTCTCGACTTACTACTGCCCCCGCGACCTGACTCCGGATAAGCGGATGAAAATGGATGGAGATTGCTTTCATGTATTCTCTCAACAAGCTGGCATTTTTTAAAATCCAATTAAAAAATTTTTTTTCTTCTTCCTGTAGTTTCCTCTTTATTAATGTTAAGAAAACATTGATTTGTTCTTCAGAGACGTTCTGCTCTGATGTGTTGATTAAAGGTGCTCTTACTGTGAGAAGCAATGCACTTCAAGTTCGTGGAGGAGAGGCTGGTTTATTTGTTGTCTCATATACCAACAGAAAATACTCCGAGCAAACTGCAGTTGCTGTTTTCTCAAAGTGACAGTGAACAAGGATCACAACTGAATGTTAACCTGTTCTGGTCAGTCAATCTAGATCATTTCTGCCAGAAGGTCAAGTATTTCTGACACGTTTCAGGGATTAACATAAGCAATATGTGTCATGTTGAGAGATTATACCTGTCCACATCCAGGAGCAGAGCAGACAAAGGGTCTATCATCCCCCATCTCAGACAAATTATCTGGAAAAACAGCACAACAGAGCACTTCACAGGCTGTTACTGGCAACAATCAATCAAATGGAGGATGGAAGAGAGAATCTAGTATCTGGATATGATGAATGCCATGCACCTGTTAGCACATGTGCTCACCTGTCATCAAAGAGCGTTTAAACTAGTCCCTCTACCAGCTGGTAAAAGAGGGAGGGACACAGGCCGAACACAACAGGCCTATCTGAAGGGTCTGCTATGGGTTCAGTGGAGGATAAAGCAGGGACACGCGAACAACGATGAGGCAGCGGAACCAGAGGAAGCTAACATGCAACCTACCCTGTGGTGTCATCGAACCGTCCAGCGCTGGCTCCTGCTTTCACAGGCTAGCTAGTAATCTTCTTCTGCGGACAGCACACAGGGTAGAGCTAAACAGCCAAATCTCTGCTTGCTTTGACTTTCTCAAAGATGGGCCGCGAGTTTTCATATCCGTACCACATTTTTATTCAAATAAGATGTGCCACTGTACATCTCAAGCCAACGTCAGAGAACCATTCAGAAAAGCAAAGAGAAACCATCACGTAACGCGAGCTTAACAGTAACATGCAGTTTCACCATTGCTAGCTATGCTAAACGCTAAACGAAGGTCCACTAGCTATCTAGGAATTTTAACATTTACAGGTTCACCAAGTCAGCAGCTAGCGTTACCGTTAGCAGCTAATGCTAAGGGAGAGCTGTTCATTCACTCTTGCAGAGAGGCATGGGTATCTAATGTTCCACTAACACTGACACAGAATACCTCAGTTAATGTCAACAATCAAGGTAGATGATTCAAAATATGCCCAAACTCACCGGATGATTAAACTGCCTCTTCACTCCCCCTCCCTGCTCCCGACAGCTCTGCTGCTGCCTACCCGTTGTTGACACTCTGACACTGCCATTGACCAAATCTCGCGAGACCTGGAACTTAACCCAATATTACGTAACACGATTAATGCACATTAAAATGTAATAGTACACGACTAGTCTCAATATATACTCTACTTATTTGTAAAATCTTTACATGAACATAAATTATTAGTTCTGTGAACGTAAAGAACAAATAAAACTTCCAAAGTTCTTTACTTTAGTTCCAACAAGTTACATAATCTTTAAAGCTATTTCCGGATGTTTACAGTATGTTTCATTCTGGCCCTGAACAGCACAATATAGGAAGAAGTCGTTAGAGCTCACTCCAATCCACGGAGTTCAGAAAGTGAATCCCAACAAACATTTTTAAAGGGGTTTACGTAATTTATTTTTCTTCTCCAGCCTCAGTTATCAGTTTAGTTAGAATTGACAAATTTCCAAAATAAGTCATGGAGACGATGCACATCTATGGACACAAATGATGCCTTACTTTAACTGATGCCAGTGAGCCCTCCAGGGTGCAATAAATATTTTAACTAGAATAAATGTTATCAAACACCAAATTAAAAAGCCTTGCAGTAATTTATGAATATTCACTTGCAATTCTAAACTGGACAAAAAGGACACCCTGTAAAGGCACTGGGAGTTAGGGCAGACATCCACAAAAGGCTGCACTGCACGCCAATTTCCCACAAATAAAATGACTCAAAACAGATTATCATAACACAGATGAGGAAAAAATATGCACAACATTCACGTGCAATATTCTGTTTTACTTGTTTAACCATTCTAAGTCTCAAGATCAAATTAAGTGCATTTCATTTACAGACACTACATGCAGGATAACAGTTCTATCCACCTCAGTTGTTACACACAAACCAGTCAACACAATTTACAGATATGCAAGAAACCCTGAATACGGTAACAAAAAAAAAAGTTGGTTAATTGTACAATCATTTGACACTCAACACAACGATCCAGAACACAAGTTGTATCAAGTTCACCCCTACACACATTCAGGAACAAAGGACAAAAAGTATAATTGAAGCTTTTCAAGGGTTACATTCGTAGAGCTCATGTCCCATCTAAAGAAAGACACTAAAAAGCAATACCACTAATTCAATTATAGACGCTAGTCTACCTTAAAAGGTTTTGATTAAAAAATAATAATAAAATAACGTCTGGACTAAACGTTGGCTGGGCGCTTTCCGTGTTTCTCTGGGGACTCCAGTTTCCTTCCAGTCCAAAAATGTCCATGGCATAAGTTTCAGAGATCTTGAGAGCTGACTACAGTATGAGCTGTTCGGTTGTCCCTTTTCATCCCAGTAAAGGTTTTGCTACCGTCAAAGTCAGCACAAGTTAGCAGGTCAAGTTAAAGACTTGACCATCGTAGGGTACATTGCTACAGTGGATTATTCCTGAGCAGTAAATCATTAACGTAAATGTTTTAAAGTTTATGAAAATGAAACTCCAACTTAGAAAAAAAAAACCTTCTCTTGTTGAAGTGAGAACGGTTAAACACAAATAAAGATTAGTTTCCAGCATTAGAGCTGTGTTCTGGTATTGATACACGGTGATGGCAGTGTCATAGTTTAGACTTGATGCATTCAATTATGGAGGTGAAGGGAAAGAAATAAAACACATGAAATAAGACTAAGTACTCACGCTGTTCTATGAAAAGTTTCAATAGACTAAACAACTAAGTCAAAATATATATATTTTTAAATCCCTATCTTTAAAAAAAAATACAGTTTTTTTCAATAAGTTATTTTTAGGATTTTCCAAATTTTTAGAAATTTTGTTTAGATCAGAATTTGGTAAGATGTATGACAGGTTCACAAACTTTCAACACTACAGCGGATCCAGTAGAGGTAAACCATCATGTTAATCATATTTGTCTAATATTCATCAGCATGACTATAGAACACCAGATTAGTACACAAACAAAACATTTGCCAAAGTAATGGCCAGCAATTTCTGTACAAGACTCAGTTTTTTTTTCTCCAAGCATCGCCTTCAAGTTTCTAAAGTTAATGATCCTAAAGGATTCCAACATACAAACTTTTTACAGTCAAATAAATTTCTGCAGCAAAAATTTGAGCAACTATTCCAGACTAAAAGAAATTCCTGCAATAAACTGCAACCAGATGCCATAAACACCAAAGTAGGGCTGCTAAACAAAGACCTGATAAATGTTGAGCATTGATCTTTTCAGGAAACCCTGTCTGTCCAAATGTTTTTTCATTGAAGAAATAATTTCTAATTAGCAGCAATTCTTTGACCACACCTGTCAAAATATATTCATTTGTCTATTTACATATTTTATATATTTACACGTATATAGATTTGATTTGAGGTTGTCTTAAAAGTTTTTTCTGTTATTTTGGTGAGGTGGGGGGAATGTTCTGCTCCTTTCCACTGTGTTTGCCTCCCTGCTGTGAAGAAAACCATTTCCCCCTCTGATTCTCCCTCATCTTCATCCCATAACCTCTCACTCTGGTGTGGCCAGGAGGCCCTCTGAAGGCACGTGAAGGCTGTCGGGGAGGCCGTTTATCTCCAGACTTTTCTGGAGCTTGCCTTAAGGTGGGTCGAACCTCCTCAACAGTATTGACCTTGAGTTCTTGTAGTGGTTGGTTGTCTGATGTGGCAGTAGGGGCGGGAGGCAGGTCTTTGGCTGGTCTCTGGCACACCTCTGCATAACTGAGCTTCCTTTGTGCCTGGAAAAGAGACAAATGTGGACATCAAAATGGGGGGTGGGTTAAAAACAAGTTTCACGCGACAATTCCTCACTGAAAGCCAAAATCCTGACAGAATGGAATAAGCTCAAGTGGATTTTTCATTTTGGTTTTTGCTTTACCTACAGGTCAACAATTTGATCCAGCATACAAATGACTCAGTCAGTTGTGCAGATCTGAATGCAGGATTCAGGTGTAAACTAGGTCATAAAGGGTTAATCAAAGCAGCATCTTCTCCAGTCAGAGTATTTAAACACATCTATAAGTGAAATAAGGAGAGTAGATTTCTTCCGGAGTGAGAAAATCACCGGCGTCCCTGCTTCTTCAGACTCCTTTAATTGGGGTTCAACCTGAGAACTGTTAATTTGCACAGAAAATAAAAACAGCACAAACAGAAGCTAGGCTAAGCTAAACTGACAGTTTTCTACTATTTGCTAATGGAGCAGGAGCACACCACACATCCAGGAGTCAAAATAACAGTTTTAGTTATTTTTTGCATTAATATTTAGTTTAGACAGTAATCCTTGTAAATTATGTTGCATAGTGAATCTGATTACTTTTGTCGACTGACACTATCACAGTGGACAAACCCTTTGTGAAGTCGTTGATCTATGACTGTGTGTGAATCCAGATCTGAGGAGAGGGCCCCACCTGTTCTGATGTTGGAGATGAGAGAACGGGGTTTTCTGTGACAGACTGATTCGATGTTGTGGGACTTTGTTTTGAAGCTGCAGCAGATTCAGGTTGTGTGGACGTGGAGATTTCTTCCTTTGGAGGTTCAGGTTTGTCTTCTTTTACTGCAGGTGTTCTAGTACTGAAATGGTAAGAGAGAGAAAAGGGATTTTAATACGTATCTTTTGTAATTTTTCTTGCATTTAATCATGAAGTAAAAGTTACCTTGATGCTTGTGGAGCTTCTGTTTGAACTGTAACAGGAGTGGGTTTAGCCTCCAAACTCACAGAATCTTGTGTGTTTCCATGACTTTCTGAGTCTTTGGTATTTTGTGATGACTTGTCCTCCTTTATCCCAGTCTGAAGTAAGGAGGAGGAAAAATACACTTAAGAGTCAAAACCTTTAACTATTAGGAAAAATATCAATAGTTATAAACAGTATAACTCACCTTGGTTGAAGTCTTTAGGCCACGTACTACATCAGAAAGGCGCACCTCTGCCACCGCCTCTCCGTGCACAGCAACCACTGATCCTGGCAGAGGAGGGAAGCTGGAAGCTGCCAGGTCAAAGTTAGGAGGGGGGGCCTTGACCTCCATCAGAGGGACGGGTTTCTGAGTTTCATTTAAGCAAGAAAAGAGCAAAACACTTGAGATGTGAAAACCAAAAAAGTGACCATTAAAACACTAAAAGACTATCTTTAAGAAAGATACTCAAATGTAAAAAAAGACAATACGCCTACCAAGGTCTGCTCATCTTCTCTTTTCCTCCGATTTCCTCTATGGTTGCTTCTCCTTCAAATAAGCACAATTATGATTAAAAAAAACAAGAACATTTGAAAACATACACTAGCAATATGCACTAAAAGGACTCATCATAGCTCACCTGTCCCGTCCCATCCGATCTCTACTTGATATGGAGGCCAGGGACGAAGTTGCTTTAAGATCAAAGGGGGAGAGCGAGCCAGACTGTGACGTAGCAACAGAGGGGGTCTTTGATGATGAGAGGTCCTGTGAACTCAAGGGACCAGAAATGCAATTTATCACTGTTGCTGGGGCCACAGTAGAAGGGGTGACATCCTCGGGTCTGGAAGGACCCTTTAGATGGTTTCTGGGTTCAAACAAAGAACGGGTAATTAAATAAATGTTAGTTGAATGAACTACGTTTTGAATAGGCTCTGCATACAATAAAAACAGTGTCAATGCATTTAGAGAGTGGGGACAAAATGTTTTAATAACATACAACTGAGACTTTAAAAGCAATAACATGCAAAAAGAATATAGACAGAACTCAAATCACCACAAAACACTGAGGACCACAAAGCTCTGCAGCATCAGTACCCACAGCATGACTCAAGTGTGTCAGAGTTGATATAATGTGGAGAGTAATAGTGTGTAAACATTAGTAAAGTGACAAGATTATCAATGTTTGTTAAAAATTTACAACATTGAAATTTAAGATAGAGATTTTTCTCTGATCTGAAATCTCTTATTTTAAGAAAACATTAGAAAAGGACAAAACAAGTTATTTTCTGATAGAAACACATTTGAATAAAAGCACAGAATGGACTACTAAAGCAGCACCTTAAGTGTAATAACAACTGAAGTGATGTCTAGACAGTATACCATGACAGGATGGACTTAAGACTGAACAGATGACATAACTTTCAGCTACCTGTTCCTTCCTGTGGAACGAGGCCCACCGACAGAGCTCGAGTTTCCTTTGTAGCTTCCATTGTTGCTGTAGCCATTCATGAATCCATTGTTGGGAAAAGTTGCCTACATAGAAACAAGTCACAACAAAAATTCATTTACATGATGCAAAAAAATTAAAAAATAAGCTTTAGGAATCAAACATCCCAAATTGGTCATGTCAAACTTACAATAATTGCATTTATCCATAAAATACCTTAAAAATAAAACACCGAATTATTCTCACCAGTGGAGTTTCAAAGTGTGGAATGATGGGAGGACTCCATGTAGGAGACACCACAGGATAAACCGGATACTGCTGCTGAGAGCTATACACCTGCTGCATGTAAACCGGGGAGGCAAACTGGGCTTGCTGCTGGTACACGCCGGAGTCCACGCTGCGGAAGCCATTCTTTCCAAAGAATGTGTTAATGGCTTTAATGCGGGCCTGGGAATAAGATGATCAGAAACGTTTTCTACAGGTGAAGAAGCAACGGTTCCAGAGTACCAGTACGGAATATTGTTAAATCCTCAAGTCCCCTCAGATCTCATAATCTCACGGTCATCAGGCCATAAAACACTGAACTAATTAGGGGGAAGGAGAGGAGCAAAGGGTAGAGGGAGGATGAGGAAAATGTGAGGGTACAGATGAGAGGTACAGGTTTAAGGAAAGCTAGAGGAAGTTCCTCCCAGCTAGACAGTGTGTTTGGGTCCTTCCAAGCGCGATACTGATCATCACTGGGGTTCACATGGGAACATTTATACACCGCAGCTTTGTTTGTTTATTAAGGTGAAAAAAGGAAACCAAGGATTTATAAAATATCAGATATATTAAACTAATATAAGATAAGGTAAATGGGAATAGCTCAAGAAGGACTGATATACTTTTAGTTTTGGGCAACATTTACCATCTTTTGTTCCAATTATAGCATTTTATTTATGACTGATAATTCCCAGAGATTCAAAAAGGGCCATTTCAAGTAACCTACCATAACGGGTTTGCCCTGGAACGTCTTAACTTCCTCTCGTAGATATCTGTATGCCTGAGTAAGGAGAAACAGAAAGGGAACAAATGTTCACTTTACTAAATCAACATTGTTTTGAAGATGTGAATCATCTACTGATCAAAACTGGGTCGAACGAGTCCAGTGGTCTTTAATAAACTTACTTTTAAAGCATCCATGTCTGACTGAAATGTAATATACCAGCTGCTGTTGTGAGCAAACTCAGCACTTAGCACTTTTGGACAGTTTTCATTCTTAAAAAGAGCCTCGACTTCCTGTAAAAAGAAAGCAAAGAACAAGTTAGACATGAAAAGCCATCGGCTGTTTGGTAGTAAGTTGAGAGGAAGCCAAAATTAGGGCTGAAATGAATCATTGAATGGTTCAATTCATTAAATTCCTCTAATCATGTTTTTAGTAATTAGAAGCTTCGTTAAAGGTGCGCACCACAGTCTAAACATATTTTACTGGTGCTCCACGCAGTAATCTAGGAGCTGTGGAGGTAAAACAGAGGAACCAGCAAATACACAAACCATTGTAAAAGGTGGAAATAGTCCAAAGTTTGGGATCAGAGTTAAACTACGAGCAGATTGGCTAATGCTAATGCTTGCATGTAGCAGGTTCACGATCAAGTGGGGTTCAGAAACAACACCATAGTTGTGAACGACTAAACTCTAAATGGAAGAAAAATCCCCCAAATCCCATTTATTTGTGGATGTCTGCAGCTGCAGTGGTAAGTAACAGAACCATAGCAGCTACCTGTAGTCAGGTTGTTGCTACCAGTCTGCTCCACACACTGCTGCAGTGTATGGCAAGCCGTTGTAGTATGTAATTCACAAATGCTTCTTTTTTTAAATACAAATTAGACTGGAGTGGATTATGTAGCTAACCCGTACATAATAAAATATAGAGAATAGAATAAAATTAGACTTTATCGATCCCAGTGGGGAAATTCACTTATTTCAGCAGCACACACACTTAGAGAAAATGAAGAAAAATAACAAGGTTACAGGTAAACACACAAAGATAATAAGCTATTATTGTAACCGTCAACCACTTAAAAGAAAACTTGTGTGTCCAGAACTATGCAGCATAAAGGACACAGAAATACTAAGGCACATTTGCCTCAATTACATTGTTACCAGTAGAAATTAAATGTTAGCATTTCCGGTAGCTTATTACTGAACATGTTAATTAAATAATTAATTTTAATGTGTGGATGTATTTGGATGTTATTTAGATTAAGATGAGTGACATTAATACAAACCTAAAATATTAATTAAATGTAGGTCAAACATTTTCCATGAAAATTTTAATAACTATAAATATCAGATAAGAGGAACCTAGACTAGAATTTAATACACACTGACCCTTTCATAAATTTTGTTGTTTAATTTTTATTTTTAGCAGCAGACTACATTCTCTTTTCATTTGAAACATTGTCAAAATATTTGATTAATCAACAGAGGATTTGATAAAATATTCAAATGCTAAAATATTAGATAGCTGCAGCCCTAGCCAAAATACACAAACGTCCTTCTCACACATGCTGCATTTGTAATGTTACTGTTAAGTTACACAATCCAGTAGGCTGAGTCATAGATAATCGTTACCTCAAGTGGGGTAGTTTCTGGCACTTCTCTCAGAATAATGATACAGCGACTGTGGTTCGGTCTGACCTTCTCACCTGCTTCATCAACCTGCACCAGGGGAGAAGCTGCAAACAAACAGAGAAAGAAAATATAAATATGCCACCTACAGGCATTTTGTCAAGATGAGTTTGTGGAGTTTAAACTCAATTAGAGTTAAACAGAATTAAAAAGCTACAGAATTAACTTTTTTTTTTTTTTTTTTAAAGGTGGGACCGCAGGGTGTGTTCCCACTACAGAGGGATCACACTCCTTAGCCTTCCTGGTAAGGTCTAGTCAGGGGTTCTGGAGAGGAGGGTCCGTCTGATGGTAAATGGCCTGTATTTGTATACCCCCTTCTTCTACAACCCCCCAAGGCACTTCACAACACAACCAGTCACCCACCCATTTACACACACACATTGACACTGGAGATGATGCACTGACTGAGGCGAGGCCTGCCATACACTGGCGCCACTGGTCTCTTCCAACACCACCAGCAAGCAAGGTGGGTTAAGTGTCTTGCCCAAAGACACAAAAGCAACATTCTCTGGTGGGAGCCGGGATTGAACCCGCAACCTTCCGATTACTGGACAATACGCTCTACCCCTCTGAGCTACTGTTGTCAAACCTTGGATTCAGAAGGAGCAATGTGGTTTTCGTCCTGCTTGATACGGGCTGTTAGGTCCCGTACACCTGGTGTCAGAGCTTGGTCCGCATTGCCAGCAGTACGTCGGACTTGTTTCCGATCAGAGTTGGACTCCGCCAAGGCTACCTTTGTCATGGATTCTGTTCATAAATTTTGTGGACAGATTTTTTAGGTGCAGCAAAGGTGGTGAGCGGATCCGTCCGGTCAGGTCTCTACTTTTTGCAATGATGTGGTCCTGTTGGCTTCATCAGACCATGATCTCCAGCTTTAGCTGGAGCAGTTCGCAGCAGAGTGTGAAACATGAATAACTGTCTCCAAGTGTGGTCAGGACATCAGTCATGTTAATCCCAGAGGGTCGACGTAACTGGAGGAAGCACGATTTAACAACGGCAGGGTTTCCCCCAGCGCTTTATAAGCCTGGAGGCCCCCCAGGCTTTGCTTGGCCACTCGCCAGGCTAAGCGTCATGCCCCGCCCCCCTCCCCAACCCTACAGTGTCAGCTGACACGAACAGCGCAACGAAACTAGAGCCCTCCATCAGCGGATACTGGTGAGAAACAGCAGCGGAACGTGTGCAACCCCCCACCCCCACCCTCACCCCATTTAACACAAATTTATTTTTATGTACCAGTTTTGAATACTAATTATTACAATATTTACTTCATATGTTAAGTGATCCTGTCTGAATGAGCAATGCACAAAAACAAAGAATAGCACAAGTACCTTTAAGTACATCCAGAATTAGATCCATATCAGTAGTGAGAGCTTGGATGTCTTCCATGCAAGCAACAGTCCAGATAGGAACAAACTGATCATTATCCATCTGGGAAATCAGGTACAGGTCCTTAGACAGGTTCTCTCTGTGAACACAAAATTATAAACATCTGGTAGTAAATGAAGTTACAAACAGCCATTTACACAATACCAGCTAAAACGTGATGTTTTTGTTGTACATCACTTGTTTACAAATCATGGAGGAGCAGGATGGGGGATGGGGCTGAATTTGGTGAGCCTGTTGCAACTCAGTGTTTTTACCAATGACCTAGTTATCAGTTAACCCAGTTATCAGTTAGCTTATTCTGCAATACCATGTGCAAACACATGCTTGTAGAGTGTAACAATACCTCTGTTTGGTTTGTATAAATAACTAAGTGGAAATGTCAATAGCATATCAAGGATGTTAGTTGTTTTGGAAGATATAGCACATCTTCTGTGCAAAAATGTTTATAAACGAAGTCCTTCAGACAATCACAGCTGAGACCATTACAATAAAGTTTAAATAAACGGATCATGTCTCAGAAACTACTGAGATTTAAAGGTTCCATATCATGAAAATCCAGCTTTTTATTTTTTAGCTTTTTACCATGTGATTTTGTCATTTCCTCATGAGAAAACCCCCAAACCCTTTTTTTGCTGCATTTATGAATTTTCCTGCCTAAGTTTAATTTTTTTTCCAAATTTAAGTTCAGGTCTGCATTTAGGACAAAGTAGTCCAACTATTGTTTTGTATCAGACTTGGTAGCCCAGTGTTTAAGAGTAATAGTGATGTGACATTCACGAACGAATCAAATTTTTTGAAGGGGGTTTCAAAGTGAACGATGAGAGCAGAGTCCCTGTAGAGAGCCGTTCATCTTGTCTTCCAGTAACAAACTACCCCGGAAGTCGGTAAAGCGCACCCGCTCAAACCCCACCCACCACTGTGACGGACATAAGAGGAACCCTAACCAACCCCATGCGCCCTCACGGACACTGCAGGGACACGTTGCTATTAATCCCCCCCCCCACCCCCCGGCTCTCTTGACTTCACCTCGTTCAAAGGAGCCGGTCTTTTGAACGGCTCTTGGAGGTAAATGACCGACTAATGAATGGCTCCCATGAAGGAGCCATAAATCATATCTCTATAGAATAACTACCTTGCATGTAGTTTTGCGCCAGTTCGACTCCCGGCCTTGGCAAATTTTTTTTTTTTTTTTTTTGCCATACTTTCCAGTACTATGCTTTCAACCCTGTGTTGGTAAACTGTTTAAAATATAAGGGCTAATCTGGATTATTATTTTTTTTTACTTTCTATGTTTATTTAGCCAGTGTGAGTCCATGTGGGGTGATCAGAGTAGATCAACTAAAATGTTGCTTGGAAATGTCCAAATTCAAAGATCTCTAGACACACAAAATATTTTGCAGAAAATAGTCAATAAAACTACAATATAAAGAAATAAAATCTGCTTCAGCTGGCTAAAAAAAATATTTCTGCTGAAACCTGGAGTCAAACCGGCATCAGGACATGGCGCAAAATGAAAAGTGGACTCTTTAACCGATGGACCACCATAGCCAATACAATTAACTAGCCTAAGACACTGTCGTAGGAGTGTTTTGTCAGAGTGGGCGTGGGTAGAGCTTAACTGAAACAGAAATTACAATGAAAGATAAATTCAGGGTGATGTAATATTTTACCATACATTGTGCCCACCTTTGCTCTCGAAGATTTAAAACAACATGATCCGACTTCTTTAAATAGCCTTTTTAAACAAATAGTGTAAAACGTCTGCAGCTGCCTCTCGCTCTCATTTGGTTTGAGAGGAGAGGGCCTGGTGACGTAGCATGCCGAGTCTGTGGTTCTGATTGGTTAGGAGTAAGTAGTGAGTCTAGTCTGATGCTACCGGATAGGTTATAATGAAAAAAGAAAACCTTTTTATCAAAGTTTTATCGACCAGTTTTTTATCTATCGCACCACATGTCTATCGATATATGTATTGAACTATTGAATTATCGTCCAGCCCTAGTTACAGTTACGTTGTAAGAGTGAAATATTTATCTTTAAAACAATCTGTCATAGCTTGAAACAGTTGGGTCACAGTGCGTACATTTAACATTACTGAATAAGATTGCCACAGCACTTACCTAGAAAAGCAGAACTCCAGTCGTTCCTTTAAAGTATCTCGCAAGCTCTCTTCTGTCACAATTTGTTCCTTACACACTTCAATATCTGTGGCAGAGTTGCTTTGTGCGTCAAACAATAAATAACCCAAGCCAGGCTGTTCCACGTTTTGCATGGTACAAGGGAGTACAGCAGAAAAGTCACCAGTACTATCCAGATAGTCAGAGTAATAACCTTTAGTGTCTGGAGAGGAACCATCTGTGGAACCTAGAGACAACAAAAGTGATTGTGAAACTCCTTTCATGTCTACAGACCAGTAACACGCAATTTCAAAAAAGTTACAACTTGTAACTTTATGTCTGAACTACTCATCCCTGCATTCATCACAGTCAAAAAAATGCAGGAGATTGATATAACACAGACAATGGAAAGAAAAATAAATGTCTGCTCACTATTCCAAAGAACCCTCGTACCTTCAGTCATTTCGGCTGGAGAGGAGTATGCCTGCATCCAAGAAGAAGAATCCTGTAGTCCTGATGAGACGTCATTCTGTTGGGCGGGGATCTCCTGCCATACTTTGGCATTGGGGTTAAGACTTGTTCCCTTTGTGGTAACCTGCATAATTATCCAAATAAACCACAAGTTAGAGAGTAGATTGTGCTCTATAATTTGCTAAAACCTGCAATGCAAATGTTCCTGAAATGATGCACAAATACTGTTGATGGGAGTTATTGCCACTTTGCTTAATAAAAATACATTGAAACCTAAATATAACTTATCCAATCCGGTCAATTGAGTTACTTCTGCATGGGCCTCTAATCCTGCTGAGTGTTTTTCTTCCACATCTCTGCATAATGGACATTTTTGGCTTTCTTGTTTGTGGTGTCAGTGGATGTAAACTTCTGGATGAGAGGTAAACATTTAATTTTCTGTTTTTTCTAGTAAAATAATAAAAATCGTCATCCCATGGAAGAAAAGTAGCAGGAGAAGTTGTGATGTGTTTCAGTGCACGCACACCTCAAAGAAAGAAACCCATTTCGGTTTCATTTGAAGAGAAATTGATATTTTTCTTTTTGTTTAATTTTGTACTTGTAGTTTGGTAGAGTGACGTATAAACGGCCCGTATTAAACACGGTTAAAATGTTAAAAAGAAGCCTCGTCTTTGTTTCCCCTATGGTGGCCACTGTTGTGGCATTTTATTTCAGCAAAATGTTTCTTTCTGAACAAAAACTTCTGGGGGATGGAATGAATCGCTGCTGCGTTCGGACGCACTCTGAGGAGACAACTCACTTCCAGAGGTCACATGAGCCATGTATCCCAGTCGCTTTCATTTTTTAAATAATGAATAATCATTCGGTAAATTTCCATTCATTTTAATTTATATTTAGGCCAACCAAGCTGATCAGAATTCCCCAGTAACATGAACAATGCAATTAATCGATTTCACTCAAATTAACGCACATTCCTTCTGCGCCGCGCAAACCTTAACTGGTCTTAGTCTGGCTGGTCACCTGCAGCTTGTGTGTAATCAAATGTCTCTGGGGAGCTTGCTAAGGAGGTTATGAGCTTCTAGACGTTTGCCTCAGACAGACTCATGGCTGTTTAAATATCGTTCTGGATGGATCCGTGCACTGCTGACACACTCGAAGCAGGTGCTAAATAACGACGAGCGCTACTTCAGCCAAAGTTTTAAATCAGGAAACATTTCTCCAAATGAAATAACCAGAAGTCTTCCAGACTCTGAAACATGTGCTGTAGTGCATTATTTCGAGTGCGTCACAGACGCTCTCCAAACCCCTCCTCAGCGCGCCGCTTGCGCACGCACTGTCAGCAGCCAGAGGCGGAGCAGGTGAGAGAAGGCAAGATGCGCTGATGGAGATCTTTTCTTGAATGTTACTGTGCGTAACATGTAAAATATTTGTCAGTAACAAACAAATAAATAAACAAATCGCCTCCTGTAAAAAAAAACAACCATAACGGCTCAGCCCATTGCTGATGGTCAATTTATTCGTCCCATCGCCCAACCTTAGATCTCATAGGTTAGATACCCGCCCCCGAGGTGGATGGCACTTAATTTTGATGGTTAGCAAACACCCGAGTTAGCTTTGTTCTGCTCTTTCTGCTTTTCCCGTGATCCACTGATAGCCTTTTTTGTTCATTTTCTTTTCCCCTTTCCTCACATCTTTTGCTTATTTTTAAAATGTCTTGTTTTTGATTATTTGTTCCTGAGTTAAGTTTTATTTATCGCAAGTAATATCATCACAATATTAAATCACCGTTATCGCATATCCCAGGTTTTCCTAATAATGTGCAGCCCTAATAAAAGGTTTGCTGACCGAGCAATCAAGAAACTAACATAGGTTAAAGCATGTTTTTCTCTGTGGTAAATCTTAGCCTACTTTATTAGATGTAAAATAATTATTAATTTGGTTAAAAAAAACTTTCATACACTTTATATTTAAGGTAAAGCAGGCTCTCAGAGCTGTCAATTGCTCCCTGAATGCAGATGTGTTGACCAGCCGTGCAACAGTACCTTGGTGTGTCCTGCCATTTCCTGAGTGAAGATTGGAACATGCAAGTGAAGATGGTGGAGTGAAAATGAGAGTGATTTCCCCACACTTGCACAGAAAAGATTTTGCCACACTAAGCTCAGCTGGCCAAATCTTTTCTGTGCCTCCCTGCCACTTCCACCCCATCAGACTGCATCTTATCTGCAGCTGGCAACATCTGCTCTCAAAAGAGAGCAAGCCTTTTTCCAAACCATGTGGAAATGCCAACTTTCCTGACTGTAGCTGGACACATTTGTGAGCACAAGTCACTCTTGTGTACAATTTATTTTTGGTTGTAGGTGCATACCTCCATTTGACTGTGTACCATATTACATGTCACAAAGTTAATTAAAACTTGTTGATAATCTCTTTATTAGATGGCACATAAATGACCACACTTCAAACTAGACGCTAATGATGAGTAAATTAGAGCACCCTGGTGTAATAAACTATACTTTTATGCATGACATGATTAGTCGACTAATTGTCAACAAAATTCGTGATTAGTTGACTATTAAAATAGTAGTTCGTGGCAGCCTGTCTGATAGCACCGCTACTTTCAAAGCTTGCAAAACTGAAGTCATACAAAACCATGGTTTAGTATGACTTCGATTTTTTAATAAGGTTTTGGATGCAGAACTGTATACTAGTGTGTTTAATGCAGGCATGCAAAGTTTTCATTGGTTTCTTTAACACTCTTCCTCGCCTCCCTGACTGCAACTTGAATCCATACATGGCGTAGATCCGCCTCTAAACTTCAGTTTGCCTTCATCTAGGCGCTGTTTACCGTCATCCATGGCAAAATCCACGAATATGACACGATAATCGATGAAAGCAACATAGCAAAGAATTTGAAGTAATGTATCCTCACCGTTCAATAAGTCTGCCTGTGTAAAGTCAGCAGCTCCGCGATTACACGTAGTAGTCCGAGGTTCGGGAGCACGTGGCGCCAATGTGTCGAGGCTGTTTTAACGCCATATTTTTTATCGAAAAGGGCGAAATGTCAGCCAATTCTTTACAAACGTATTGGTGGCCATTCGTTAACTCAAAAGAACCGAAAAAATGTCCCGTTTCATGTATCGTTCCAATTAACCTTTATCTTCAGTTGCCACCATAACTAAACGGGTACAAAGGCTAATCACGTGCTGGAGTCGCAGCACGTGCGACATAAACCAAGCAATCTCTACTTCACACAGCTAAATTAGGGCTTAGACGCCACAGTTTGGACCAAACGAACACAGATGTAAACACACAACGCCAGATTAGGATTTCATTGGAACATATTCGCTGCCATATGTTAACTACCGGCGACGTGGAGCTAACTAGCTTGGTTACTAGCAGACCAGTTCAAACCGGCCTTACATTGCTTTGCTAATCTAAGATAATTTACCTAATATGCTTACGTAACATTTAATAACCAATTGAGAATTTAAATAAAACGTGTACTTCAATGAATTAACTAAAACATTACGGATAATGGTTACAACAGACTAGTGTTGTGTATTCAACCTTCACAAAACATGCGTCTGTACACCCAAGTCACAACTGGAGTAACTACAACAGGTTAGCGGAGGTGAACGCTTCGAGTCCGCGTACTTACCATGATTACTTGATGGTAGCCGTAAATCCGGTAGTCTAATGACCTGACGGGTTTCTCCTCCTGGTAGAGCCTTAAGTTGTTAAAACAATATCGGCCGCACCTAACAGTAACAGGTCCGTGGTCGGCTTTAAATGTTGCCTCAGTCAAATGGTAAGGTTAGTCCAGCGCGTGCTTCACGAGCCACAACTTAAAAAATACTATATGCTTTCACTATGTTTAGTAGAAAAACGTTTCCCACATAATTAACTACTTTCGTCTTTTCAATTCCTCATCCCGTGTGTCCGCTTCTCGCAGCGGTTCCGCAGCATGTGACAGCTTGGTCTCAACCGCCGGCGTCCGACCCTACAGCAAGCAGCACCCCACTCGCGTCGACTTTATCGGCGCAGCCGGCATGACCTCTGATGTGGGTTGATGTAATCAGTAGAAAAATAATGAGACCTGCCTTAAACGTCCGAAAGTTAAACTTTTTTTTACAGTGAAGAAAGTTGGAAAATGTCAAGTTCGATCGCTCAAGTTCCATTACACGTCCTTGCAAACTTTACAACGACCCAGCCCCATCCATGGGCAGTGTCAAAATGGTCGAATAGAAGGAATACAGCCCAAGTTGGGTCATGTCACTTGGTACTTTTACTTAATATACGACACATTTATTCATAATATTTAAATGTACTACATTTGCCTTTGATTAAACAGGAAATATTAACCTTTCACTAAAAGGATTGCTGACACCCCCTCCCCAGTGTGTGTATGCAGTTTTGCATGTTTACAATAGTTACAAGCACAGATATGTATACAAACATGCCTATGGTTACAAGTACCGACACTGCCTATGTACAAACCAACTGATGTTTATAAACACGGAAAGTCAAAAGAAAAAGATCAAACTTCAGATTCCAGCATTCTGACAATGTTAAATTACAGAAACATTCAAAAGAAGTTAATTATTGTGATGTATCCCTTTTTTATGTAAACACGACATATACTTTGGCAAAACATTTTTTCTTTTCAAACTGCAAAATTTAGCTTCAGCCAAACTGATGCATAACATCACACCAGCAGGACGGACTTCACTTTACCATTCCAAGTTAGTGGCAATATCCAGCTGCCCTTTCACTCCTACAAGTTCAAAATTCTGTCGTCAATGTGACCTCACTCCTTTAGGAAAACATCACTGAAAAAATTATACTTACATTGCAGGAGGTTCCTACAGTAATGCTGATCAGTTTGTAATGTTGGGCCTTTCCAATACTCACCTCATATGTAGTTTAGTTACTTAGGTGGAAACTGTAGCTCAAATGCTAAAATGTGACTTGCCTAAAAATAAACAGCATATTTAGTTTCATAATAACAGTTTAGTTGATCTTGGTGATAAAAAACAAGGAAAAACACATTTCAATCCAACTTGACCTCTTTAATCAAACTTATTCGAATTTCTTTAATTTAAAATTGACACAAGTACACATTTTCTTCATTGAGACAATAGTCCACTTAGATCTAATGAGGTCTGAGCATTTTAGTTTCCGGTCTTTTGTGCACACAAACTTAAAAAACGTCGAGTCGTGATTAAATAAAGCCATTGTTCCGACTAGGCCTTGGTGGTTCCAACCATCTGTGATGCTTGCTGGCTCTGCTGTAACTGCTGGATCTTCAGTGTCATTACTTCAATTACAGCTGTAAACACAAAGCACAAAGTATGAATTCTATTTGCTTGTGTCATGCTCAAAAATGTTTAACTGCAGAAATAAAAAATGACTAAATTTAAATTAAGACACTTAAATCTAACAGTAACCTTTTAAAATTCCATATTAAAGTGACAGTGTGCATTTTTCCTGGCAATGTGGGGCAAGAGATACCTAAATTGTTGCAAGCAAGCTGTATTTTTGTGTTGGAGAAAGACCTTGCAACAGGTGCCCATTAAGAGTCAAAAAGCGCTAGAGGGCAAATTTCAGCAAAATAACAGGCAGATCAGCCTCCCTTTCATCACTGGAAACTAGTGAAGAGGTAAATGTGTAAAACAATGTTTATGAATGGTGAAAATTTTGTAATCGTTTATTACAAATCAGTAATTGCATTTTGTCCTTAAGGGCTCCCGTAGAAGGAAACATGGCATCTAATATGGTGTCGCCCAGACTTAGGCCCGGCCCCAGATTTATATGGTTATATGTTGAGAAGCCACCAATATTAATCAACTACTGGGTATCATTTACTTTGTCATTGTCAACATTTTTTCATTTCTTTCTTTATTGAACATGTAAATCAATAGACAAATTAAAGTATTCAAAAAGAAACCCATACATATGTATATGCATATATATATATAGAAACATGTTCAATAGGAAGGGAAAAAAGCTCTGGTAGCTTGTATAATCACCCCCCCCCCCCCCCCCTCCCAAAATCACATTTCAAGGAAGATAAAAACAAAAAAATTCTCTTCCCTACACTGTCATAGCCATTTTCTTATAACATGTTTTATCCTCAATCACACAAGCAAAATTTACATTTTTTATGTTCTCCCCCCCCCCCCCCCCCATATTCACAGCTCCCAGTTCATAGACAATTACAATCAAATGCAGCACCCTCAAATGCAGCACCCTTACAACTTTTCCTCCTCCTCCATGTGATTAGTTAGTATAATTGTTTTATACTTATCTTTAAACGTATGCAATGAGGGACTTTGCTTTAGATCCCCACTTAGCTTATTCCAAACTCTTACACCCGTAACAGAAATACAAAATGACTTTAATGTTGTTCTAAAATATGTATGCCTAAAGTTACGTTTGTATCTGAAATTATATACGTTATCTGGTTTTATAAATAACTTAATTTTGAAGGATATTTCCAGAGATTAACGATTAAAAACTACACACTGTCCCTTTAATCTTTTATCAAACATGTGTTTTCACATCTGTTCGCAAATTCTTAAACAATCAGATCTTCACAGAATTCATAAAACATAATCAACGTACATGTGTCTCAAACTGTTTAACATTCTGATTCAACTGACACCACAGCTAATAAACAATAGCAAACACAAAACTGACTATATAACTCAAGTCGGTTTACAGCTATTGAGATCAATTAAAATGTTAGTAGTTGACAGCAATTAATTCCCAATACATAATCAAAGAGCTAACAGATTGCAGAACATCTATAAATGCTGAAAAAAAAAAAAGATTTTAAATGTCAAATTCCATAACACAATTAACCTTACCTTGTTTCACAGCATGCTTTTCCTGAAGAGCCGGCTGAATTTTCTCCATCTGCTTTGTGAGAAAGTCTATTTTGCGCTTAAAGAAAGCTTTTGAGTCCTCCACGTTCTAAAGAAGCAAACACGCAAGTTTAAATAGCTTCTTCTTAATTAAAATCGGTTTTATTTATTTATAATATATATCTAAATATATATTACCTTTTCAACATAATATCCTGTCCCCACGTCAACTAGGACATGTTCCACATCACTTAATGTTCCAGGGACATACATCTGAAGAGAAAACTGTAAAGGACAAACATGCTAAAAGAATCCACCTTCACTAAGATGCTAAGTTGTGTGAATAAATGTATGATTTTAATGTGTAAAGATGTTAAACAACGTGCTGCTGAAGAACTGTTTCAAGTTAGAAAAAAGAAACCGAAAGAAGATGGAAGACAGTAAATAACACAACGATGGACAAAACCTTACAGCTCCTTTCACCTGGATGTTTCATATATGTATTTTATGCCAGTGGTTAAATAAAATGAATGTTGGATAATTTAAAAAGGATACAGAGCTTGTAAGAGGCACCAGCAATTCCTTTCCTGTTTGTGAGAAAAGAAATGGGTCACAATCCAAATAAATAGGCAACTCTTTCTCCCTCTCCCAGCATGGGCGGGACTGACAGGTGAAGGCACAGTGAAGGAACCATTTCTAGGAGTCACTGTGCTCTCCAACCCATTAATGTCCCTCCTCTGTCCCCCATGCGGCTGCACACACCTGAGGAAAGTCCCAACCCTACCTCCCCACCTAGTGGACACTTATGTTGTGTAATGTCTGAAGTCTGTGTGCATAGCTCCTCATATAAACCCTCTTGTGCGACCAATTCTTGTCATGTATGTATGTATGTATGTATGTCTGATCTCAGAATTGTGTGTACTGAAACTCTAATTTCCCTCTGGGATTAATAAAGTATTATTAAACTGAATTGAATTACTTTTTAAACTCTACATATCACCAGACCACAATGAAAAATCATAATCGTACCGATTGTTTTAAATGTCATTCTTTTATAGTAGTAGTTCTTGTGAGAGGTATGGATAAACATTTCGGGAGCCAACAGTTTGTGTCAGATTGTGATTTAAAAACGCACCTTTATTGTTTTGGTTCAGTACATTCAAGCTGTCTTTCGCGTCAACATACTTGGCCTGGACAACTTTCAACTGACTTATCGAAGACGTCAAGAACTCAACCTCCTGAAAGAAACATCAAAATGTACAAAAAGATTCAACCCGGGACAGAAACACCGTTAGCAACACCACCGGTTGTCTACGGCACAGAACGCTAACGGGGGTGTTTAGCCCGCATCGGTCTCCTATTTAACAATACCTCGTGCATTTAGCTACATAAATACAAATACTTCCAATACAGCATGTTACTGATGATAATACCTGATCCAGTTGGGTTTTTAATCCTTCTAACTGAGGCATGGAGAGGTCTGAAAGATTCACCGCCATGTTGAAAGCGTGATGACCAACCTGCACTGACGCAGTTTTGCTTCCGCCTAATACGATGGAATACGGTCTCATTACCGCCCCCATGTGGACAAATGTAAATTTGTCCATGACGCAACCGGAAAGAAATGTACCTCTATGGCCATCTCTTTCATCCTTTTACAGACGTTTTATTTTTAAAGGATACACATTTTTGTTTCAAAAATAAGTAATGCATTTTGATGTAGCAGTAAATGTTTAAGTTATTAAATAAAAATAAAAGTCAACAAAATTCACAAAAATAACAACAAATGTTGTTTTTAACTTTTTTTTGTCTAAATAAACTTTTAATATAGTTATTTGTAATCGGTAATTTGACTTGGTGGCAACATATTCTGTTTATGGGAGTTTATATGAAATATTCCCCTAATAATGAATGCAATAATAAAATTCATTTTATAAACTATACACTGACTCTGAATTTATACGAGGTGTGTTTTTGGTCCCTGAATAAGCAAAGGACCCTAGAATCTTCTGATTAAACATTCAAAGATCAATCAGATTGATATTTCATATTTGTATGGAATATCACATCTTATTGGTCATAATTAATATGTGTTAATTGCTACATTTTATTTAAATGAAAATTCCTTCTATCGAAGTAATTGAATAAAATCATAATTTTTGTTCGAGCATCTGTGATCTAAAAAAAAGAAAGATACACCGTCAATGTCATCATTTTCACACCAGGTAGATGAACTGGGTCTTTTTCATTAGAACACAATTTTTTTTCAATCCTTAAGAAAACCTGCTTATCTATGTTTAATATGTATATATTTAAATATACAAATTGATTTGTGATATTTTAAAACAACCAAATTTAATCAACTTGAGTCATAAAACACAAAACCTTTCAAACATGAGCTGCATATCTATACTTTTACTGAGTCATGTTTTTTATTTTGATTCCTTTCATATCACAGATGTTCCGTTTTCTTCATTTTTTAGCAACTATTGGAAAAATTTGTGAAGCCATTGCTAACCAGATGTAGTGCCACCAAACAGCCACAGGAGGACGACATTTGCACAACAGAAAGTTCACGTTCACTTGTGTCACTGTGGTTAAAACTCAAAACTAAGGGACATAAATACTAATTGTACTTTCTGTGGGGATCATCCAGAAACTGTGACACATCTTTTTTGGTGCTGTTCTTTTACACAAAGATTCTGGAAGGAATTTAGCAGGTTTGTTACTGTCCATATTTTAAGGGAGTTTTCTTTACGATGGGAAAATGTTTTATTCTGTTTCTTTAAGTTCCCCATGAAGAATGATAAATGTTTTTTATGATAAATATGTTAATACTCTTAGCTAAATTCTTTATTCATAAATTTAAGTTTACTAACAGAACACCATATTTCTGTCATTTTTTAAGGATGTGGATTCGAATTGTACATCAAATCAATATCAGAATCCATCAACAAAAAGGCTCTCAAAACAGTATATATATGTGAATTTTTGCGTACATTCTTATAATTGTTACTTTTTTCTTTTACCCCTGGCTTTGTGTGTTCATATTCTGTTGTTTTGTATACTTCATTCGTTTCTATGTTGTATACTCATTGTTTGTTAAATAAAGTAAAAAAAAAAAACAAAAGCAAAAAAAAAAACTCAAAACTACTTTCAAGGCAGTTCGTTCCACTCCTATACGCTAGGTGGCGACACGAGCCCTTTTCATGTCGTTTTTCCGGTTGTCCTGCAGCGTCACAGTCACGTCATAGTAAACAAACAGTCGCGGGAGTGTGCTGCATGTGGTGTAGCCGCCTGAGTAAAAACAATGGCCGAAGATACAGACAACGCCACCGCTTTAGCACAGTTCATCTGTTATGTACTGTACTGCTCGATGGTGTTACACACCAGATGCGCACAGAGTCTTGTCGTGATGATATTATCAGAGGGCAGAAGACGTCGTGAAATGATAGCGAGGAATGCTAGCAACACAGTCGCTGCAGCGGTCCAGTTCCAACTGTCTCGACTCCCACAGGTCACTCGTTCGTGTTGGATGCGGGTCCGGAGCAAAGACTGGTGGGAGAGAGTGGTTATGAAAGAGTTTTCCGATCCTGAGTGGAAGGAGAGTTTTCGGATGACACGCAGCTCATTCCACAAGTTGTGTGGCTACATGGAGGGAGTTTTGAGCCCCCAGGATGAGACTGTTCGAGCACCGATACCACTGGAGATGAGGGTTGCAATTGTTCTGTACAAACTCGCAAGCTGCGCGGAGTACAGAGTTGTCGCCAATCAGTTTGGTGTCCATAAGTCCACCGTGAAGAAATTTGTGTACGCCTTCTGCAAAGGAATGGTAACGAGCGTCATCCACCACTTTATCAAAGTGCCCACACCAGAAGAAGCGCTGACAATTGCGCACAGATTCGAACAAAAATTTTACATTCCACAGGTCTTCGGCTGCATCGATGGAACGCACATCCCTATAGTGCCACCGAGTGATCGCTACCAGGACTTTGTGAACCAAAAAGGATGGCCGTCATACGTACTGCAAGCGGTGGTGGATGACTTGTATCAGTGAGAAGACAGTTTATATATATATATATGTGTGTGTGTGTGTGTTAGGGCAGAGCGATACGACCTAAAATCGATATTCAATTCAATTCAAAAATACTTAATTAATCCCAGAGGGAAATTGATTAATAATATCACGGTATATTGACGATTTCACCTGGTAATGATATGTATGCACAAAAACAAATTGTCCACTAGATGGAGCTGTTTCAAGTATTACTTGAGTCACGCGGTCATGTGACTTGAGGTGGTACAGCTTCTTAAAAAGAATTGTAGCCAATCTACACACATTTATCTTTTTTAATAACTATATATATATGTGTGTGTGTGTGTGTGTTCAATTTTAATACTGAATATGAGGCTCATGTGCCCGTGTGCATTTCTTTAGATTTTGGAACATAAACTGCAAGATGCCCGGACGTGCTCATGATGCAAATGTCCTCAGACAATCTGCCTTGTTTTCCCAGGCACATCGGCTACCAAAGGTATTTAGGGAATGTTTCCATTAAGTCATTGCACCTGAACTCAGTTAAAATGTTTAACTATATAGTTTCTTTTTGTGTTGCTTAGGAACCCAGAGACATCCACGGCACAGCAGTTGACCTCTTCCTGCTGGGACAACCTGCTTATCCACTCACAAAGTGGCTAATGAAAGGATACACACACTCTCCACATATAACAGCTAAACAAGAGTCATTCAATGTCTACCTAAGTTGTGCTAGAACTACAGTGGAGATTGCTTTTGGAAGGCTGAAATCACGCTGGCAGGTGTTGATGAAGAGAAGCGATTTTCACCATACGTTCACCCCTCATGTCATCGCCACCTGTTGTGCTCTACACAATTTCTGTGAGAGTGAAGAAGAGAATGTTGTTCCTGCCTGGACTGCTGAATCTGAGCGTCTTGGACACCAGTTTCCCCAGCCCGCTGTGCAAGTCTACAGTACTGCGGAGGACAGCGAGGGTGTGAGAGCCAGGCTTGCCTTAACGGAGTACATGTCAGTAAATTTCCCTCTGCGCAGACCTTTGCTTTAAACACCCAGTAACTATATGCCTATTCAACAAAGACTAAATTAAAGCAAAAGACTTTATGTAAGACATACAAAACAGATTAGAAATCACAGCAGTTACCAAAAACTGCAGAACATTTTAAGTAAAAAGGGGAAAAAAGCCCAGGTACCAAATATGTACAAAATAGCTGCTGAATGTGGGTTGGAATAAAATGTCGCTACTGCATTTGATTCACTTTTGGCAAATTTAAGTTTGCCCCCTTGGTCCCTCACCATCAAGCTAGCATGGCAGATTAATCGACCACAAAGGCTCTTCACGGTGAAGCAAGCACAGTGCTCGCGTGACCTGGGAACCTCGGCTGCCAGCCGGGCATGTTCCAGTCTGAGGAAGCCCGAGCAGACATGATGTGGATCCTTGCTCCTCAGATACAGCAGCGAGCCCTTGCCTCCATCTGCAAATAGTTGAGCTAACTTAGCTGGGAGATAAACTACCACTGAAGCAAGAAGTGGTTCATAGGGACACTTGCTTTTATAGTAGCATGTAACGTGAGTCACGGCCACCGACCAATCAGGGTTGGCGTTGTGAAATAAATGCTGAGGAATCAGCAGAAGAGCGTATCCCATAGTAAGACTAGGGCTAGACGATAAAGCATATAGATTAAAAACATGTAAAGTGATCAATATCAATTATTGATAACTATATAAAATGTAGGAAATATTTCAGGGGCAGCGTTGGTCACTAAGTCATTGCTTTATGATAAAACAGGTTGTATTAGCAGACCTGGTTTTTATAGATTCTCTGCAAATTACTAGTTTCTTTTTTGTCAGACTTATGAAAATCCAAATCTCACCATGCTGGTGAACTACTGTAACTTTTTTTGGGACCATTTCCTCCATCTCTCCTTGTGCAACAGTTTAAGTTACTTGCTCTGTTTTGGCTTAGAGGGGAGGTCTTGGTGACAGAGCGTGACTGGGTCTGCGTTTTTGATTGGTTGGGAGTGAGTAATGACCCATTTAGCTCGCCGATGGGCTACACAGGGAAAAAAAACCTTTTTATTGACCCATTTTCTTTATCTATTGCCCCACACATCTATCAATATTTGTATCGTTATTGATTATTGCCAGCCCTAATTGAGACAAACAAATATTAAGGAGAACTAAACAAAATGTCTATATTAACGTCTTTATTCTCTCTTATGGTGTTGAAATTTAAAAATCGACGCATTCCAGCTAATTCAATCATAAAAATAGAAATTCTTACAGAAATATTTCTGAAGCCTGACAAAAGTAATCAGACCTGGGAAAATACATCCTGTTAAAAACACAAGATACCTAAACTTGAATCTAAGTGTGAATAAAAGGTGTTAACCTTTTAAGTAAACATCTTCACTCAGAAAATAGCAACGTGTTTCACACCAATTCTCTCAATACAAACATTTCTCAGGCTTTGCCTTAGAATTATTTCCAAACATTAAACACATTAGTCCAAAATATGAGGCAATGAAAATGTACAATACTTTGATAAAAAAACTAAAAAGGAAAAGCCGGTTTACGTGAAAAAATGTCAACATGCCAAAATTAAACTTCCACAAAACTAAGGCCGTCTCAGGCGCTTGTTGCTGTGGAGTCGAGTACTTCCTGTTCTAGAGCAGGTGAACAGGTAGGCCGTAGGTGACGGGTGCCGCTCCAATGAGGTATTTCAGGTGTGTGGCCTGGCGTGATGAACTCATGTGGTCCAGGAGAGCTGCTCCAGGCCCAGCTGATAACCAGGACTCCAGCAGGGCTTTAGTAAAACGATCAATGTCCCGGTCGGTCACGTCCCACAAGTTGCCCAAAATAAAGGGGCTACAAAAAAAAAAATTAAAGAAATTATAATTTTATTTTTTAAACCATTTTTTTAATGAGGAACATTTATTAAAAGTCAATCTAAAGCTTGTTTTTTATTTTTTCTTTTTAAGAGTAAGATCTTTGATGGTCACTCCTCTTCTGAGAAGGATAATGACATCTTCTGGGCTCAGAAGAAGCTGCTCGACTTGCCCAGTTCACTGTTCTCCACAGCGCCAGCCTGGCTGTGACTAGCGGACTGTTTGGCAACACACAACAGTGCCCTCTAGTGGCTGGTAGATGTAAACATAAACCCAGTGTTGTGCCTTCAAAATAAATATTTGATTGTTTTTTAATTCAAATATAGCTTTTAAAGGAAATACTGCACCTTCATTCTGCACACCTCTAAACGCCCCGTGGAGGAATTATTAAAAAGAAAACATAGTGTAATATTTTATTAAATTGTTCCATATTCAACCTTTAAATGCATCAGGAAGGCTGCTTTAATCAGAGGAGTAATAGGTTTTCCACAAGGTTCCAGTGTAAAGCAGCTGATTTTTAAAATAAAGTCTAATTTGTTAAAAGCAATAGAATCGGAGACCCCTTTTCTATTAAGATACTACCATGTATAAATAAATAAAATTAATACATTTTATGTGATCAAATTAAATAATCTAGAGGAACTTACCACTTCTGTAACTTACGATGCACATTTTAAATGAAGCAGCAGACAGACGAGTGTGAAAATAGAGGTCTCACCATCCTGCTATGAGGTAGTTGAGGATGATGCCTTGTCCCTCCTGATTGCCTCTCACAGCCAGAGCGGCGCTGCTGCAGCCGAAGAGCAGCGAGGCAGCTCTCATCTGCCGTTTCAGGACCGACTGGCCGTCCAGGAATCTCGCTCCGGCTCCATGTCCCACATAGCTTTAGCACAGAGAGGAAAATTATTAATCAAAAAACAACGTATCCTTGGGGAAGATACCTAGATGCTGAGGGTGCCTCCTTGACACGATACGAATTGCAGCCCACTGCTTACGAATGGTGAGGATGGGTCAAATGCAGAAAATTATTTCCACAAGGGGATCAATAAAGTATAAATAATAATAATAATAATTATTATTATTATAAATGTTCTTTACTGGATCTCTTCCACTGAACAAAAAAATCTTTATTTTTTTATTTATTTTTTTTTTAACAAATGGCAAACTTTTGCTTTGAACAATCCAAGGGAGGTTTTAAAGTGCCATATTCCAACAGCAGGAAATTTATACGTGAGATAAAAAAACCTGATCAATTTTCTTCAAAACTTGTCTGAAAGTTTAACAAATGTGTTTTTGCCAAAGATGAAGAAAAAAAAAAAAAACCTCCAACAATACTCTGGTTTTTGCCTCTGAAGCATCACTGCTGTGACGTAAACAGGAAATAAAGCAAAGGGGTTTGATTATTATTACTTTAACATCAAACAGACGTTTGCAGAGAAAAGTCAAACTCACATGTATAAATCTTTGGTTGCCACAGCTCCTTCTAGCTGACCTGGGTCCGGAGCCACTCCACACACACCTTCCCAGTCTGGTTTACTTTAACATAACAGTTTCATAGTAAATTAACAACAAGAACAAATAAGAACCAGGAACAGAAATGCATTTATCGGCGGTACCTGCAGAACCACTCCTTGAATCGATCCTGAGCGTTTTTTAGGTTGGCGTCGGGGTCCAGCACATAAAACACGTTGCTCGTGTCTACACCGTGTCTCAGTATGGACTGGGAGTCCATCTAATGTGGGAAATTCAGAGAACATGTTTAAATCTCAACTGTAACGTTACATCGTACAGACGATCACGGGGCTCACCTCTTTCTGAAAGCTCAGTCCGAGGACCGAGTGCCATGAAGGCATTCGGCTCACAGAGTGAGACTTCAACACAGCCATGCTCTCCCACGGCAGCTTTTGGAGGTACTGTGAACACCAAACACAAGCTGGTAGCTTCCCACAGCAAGGCCCGCATCCCACCATCAATAAAAGCAAATAAATATGAAGTGACAATGAAACTAACCTTGTCCAAAATTAAAACCAAATGACCCCGGGTCTCATTTCTCCCTGAGAATTTGGATTTTGCTACACGAAGAATCTGATCGCAGTCAACGTCCCAGTGTGGAGAGGAGCCTCGTGCAAATGCTCGCAGGTCTTCACTAGAAAGCTCGTGAGATGCTGACAAGATGACCTAAGAGACGTGTTTTGGTGGTTGTTAGTTTTAGCTTTTCAGAACAAAAACAAAGGTTGATGTTGAAGGTGTAAGAACGACATCCTGTGGTCAAATGTGGTTACTACAGTTCATTTACTCTGACACCCTTGTTATATGGCTGTTGACAGTTACAGATCAGCACCAGAAGCTTCTAGATGACAATCGAAGACGAGTCATCATACACAACAAGTTGATCAATAAACACATAGTCATATCTTGTGTTGGCACTCCTGGGTGTTTTATGGTAGGGAGTACATACTACACTTATTACGGTAATATACATCTGGCACTAGAAGTGCAGTTGTTTGCTGTCTTGCCATTAGCTTGCTGTTTTAGTTCTGAACAAGTCAAAGGAAGTAAAATGCCTCAACTGACTCATCACACACACACACACACACACACACAAGGGCTGTAGCGAAGCCTCGACGAAGTCGACGGCTCGATTCTAAAAATTTGTCGACGTCAGATCCGGAAGTCGACGCACCGCGCCCACTTGTTGCATCCCCAGGAGTTTGTAAATAGAGGAGGAATCTGCCCGTTTTTCCTCTAGTTCGCCCTCTTCTCCGCCTTCACTAACATCTCCGCCAAATACCGAAGACCCGGAACAACGTCCGTCCACTACTAGATTCCTTTCCTGTTTTGCCCGCCTTCGTCTCCCGGCAACGGACAACAACTTCCGGGGTCAGATGCGCTGCTTCGTGTCTATCGCAGATGTAGAAAATCACCGGGAGCGTTTCTCCCTTCATAAAGGAGCTTCTTTCAGACATGAGGAGAGCTGTTTTGGTGGTAGCAGTCTCTCCTCCGTGCTGGTCTGTTTGCTGCTGGGTGTTTTTGGTTTATTTAAACTTGGTAACTTGAACTTAACGTTGGTAAAGCTACTGTTAGCATCTTCGCTAACAGCTTCTTGCGTTGGGATAAGCTGTTACGTTTTGGTTTAGAGTTCGTTTTGGTTTAGAGTTCATCTTTTTTGTGGTATAGATCTCCCTTTTATTACATTTAGAGTGTTGTGGGTTTTCGGTTTAGTGTAAAATATCACCTGAGTTTGGTTTAACCCGTAACACCACTCGCCTCACGCACATAAGTGACCAAAACAAAGCAGCATGGAGACACTCCATCTTCTACCACCTCTCAGGCAGCAGCCTGCACTCCCAAGTTCTACACGTCATCAGAACATAACCAACCGCAACACAATAAAAGCAGTGTTATACAAAATGGAAGGCCTGTAGTGTTTATTCTCTTACAGTAAGAATTTATCAATTTTTTTGAGGAATTTATTTGAGATTTTCTGGTTTTTGTTAATTGTGCAATAGAAAAATAATCATTAGATTAGTTTTCTAAATAGTCATTAGAATAGTCGACTATTCGATAAAATAATCGTCAGAATAATCGTTTTAAAAATAATCGTTTACCCCCAGCCCTAACACACACACACTAATATTGAGTCATTTAAAAAGCAGACTATTTGCAACAATTCATCAGCAGAATTGTTAGCTCAATGTTAGCCTCTAACCTGCTTCACCTGATATTAGTCCAAGTCCCATAGTCATCATCACACACTGGTGAAATTCATCTCTGCATTTGACCCATCCCTATGGAGGGGAGCGGTGGCTGCGCTCGAGAACTATTTGGTGGTTTAACCCCCCCAATCCAACCCCTTAAAGCTGTGTCAAGCAGAGAGGCACTGGGTCCCATTTTTAAAGTCTTTGGTATGACACGACCAGGAATCGAACTCTGACCTCCCAGTCCCAGGGAGTACAATCTACCACTAGGTCACTGAGCGATTATAAATAAAGAATGTGGCGTCTTAGAGTTACAAGAAATAACTTCTGGGTCACTCCTGTTTACTGGCTTTGATTCTCTGGAGCATATTTCCTGTCAGTGTCGAACTACAAATGCCGACGATGCAGCGTTTGCTCGCTACAGATTTGGAAACCTCACGAGTGTAAACACTATGTTTAGACCATTTTGTGATCATTTCACTGTATAATTCTTACAAATGGCACCTTTAAATAATCCAACAGACCTTCAGCATCTGCTCATTCACTGTGACTCTTCTTGAGGAAAAGGCCTTGCAGAGTTCCTGGGCCTCCAGGGAGAGCTCAGGATCCTCCGACAGGGGTAAAAGAAAACTCTTCCAGCAGCCAAGTGACTCCTCCATTTCTCTCAACAGTTGCTGTAAGAAGAAAGAGTAATTAAGCACATTTTGATGCCATTTTGTACCGTTTCTACACCGACTTAAGTCATAACTGATTGTAAGTGAAGGTCTGGTGGTCGTTTACCTCAACTCGAGCATCAAGAGCTCGTCGACCCTCCCACCACTTTGCTTTTTCAGCAACGCAGCTCACAACCTTTTGCTCCACCAGGATGTTCTCCATCTCCTGCACCAGACGTCTGATGTTGAGCTGCACAACAAACACAAAGTCAATATCTCAAATAAACATGAATTACAAGAGCCTTACTTAAACGGTTTAACTGTAGTTTTTACAAACTAATTCACTAGTTTCTCCCTCATTTCTGTTGTTTAACAGATCTACGTGAAACCCATCCGGAGAATTCCCGTTTCCTCGTTGCTTCTGCTAATACCAGATCCATCTGATCACACCAACCTGCTGTCTACATGTGGAGATATGAACAGTGATGGGAGGAGAATCCTTTCCAAGCCGTGAAAGGATTATACTTTCCCCCATTTCTCCTGGTTTCACTCCGAGCACAGACATCAAACACACCGTCACCCCTGAACAGAGAACAAAGAAACTATTATTTAGATCAGCTCATGCTTCATTTAAAGGCACACTTGGCAGTATTGCTTGTTTTTAGCAACCCCCAGTGTCCGTTAATAATTATCTGTGGTCAAAGCAAAAGTGAAACCTATCTCCTCATTTGTCTTTTTAACACCTTAATCCAACAGATGAAATGTCTCCTTAACTTTCATTAGTGTCTACAGGAGCAATTTATCACTAACTGAAACAAATCAGCTGTGTTCATGATCCAAAACAAGCAGGAAACGTGCTGGAAGCAGACTGCAGCGCCAGGTATGTCAGCTCAGGTGGCAGACCGGCACTTTGGAGTTGCAAATGCAATATTCTGGCCACAGGGGGCGGTGGGAATCTGAGTGACATTTCATTAACCCTGTAAAAAGTCATTTAAGCAGATACTGGCTTAAAAATGATTTAAAATTATGAAAAAGTTACATAGTATCCCTTTAAAAAGATTCAGGGGAAAACTACAAAACCAACAAAACATAAATGTGTCTATAGACATTTTCTACCTGGAGGAAGGTGCTGAATTTTCTGCATGAACTCCTGAGACTGGTTCTGGGGGAAAGAGGTAGGATCTGACATGGGGAAGGAAAACATGTTCTCCATCTGAGACAACCTCTGTTCAGTAGAACCAGCAGACACATCTCTACTGGACCAGCACAGACTCAGAGACTCCAGTTGGTCTGACAGGTCACTGGATGCCTTTTTTAGCTTTCTGTAAGAAACCAGAGTTCATTCTTAAAAAAAAAAAAAAACAAAAGCAAAAATGGAGACAAGGTGTAAGAATGACCATTGGACCTACAGGAGGGAACTGCCCAAGTGTCGGATGGTGCGATGACGACTCGTGACTCCCAGTGACTCGGCGTGTAGCATGGCTGTACCTGTTGGGTTCCGCTGTCCCATGGTCAGGGCTAGAAGGCCACATAGGAGTGGGTAGGTGGTGGGACAGGGGAAGTGCTGAAGAGTCAGCAAGGCTGAGCAGAGCAAAGACCGAATGTCCTCTGGTGAAAGGTCACCTAAGAAAAAAAAAACACAAAGAAAATCAGGAACTTGATGTTTCTGCAGCTGTTCTGAAACCTAATACCACTCGTGTGACGCGCATCGGAGTTACCCAGCTTGTTGTCTGAACGAGAAATGAGAGTCCGATCTTCTGTCTGATGATCTTTGCTCCTCGGAGAAAATGGCTTGCCTCTCTCCAAATCACAGCACAAATCACGCCTCAGCACCTCAAAGTCGACGTCTACAAAACATTTTAGTTACAGGTTAAAATGCCGATCAAGTCATCAATCCACACACATAAATTATTACAAATACGGACTCATATCTTTACTTGAAGCAGAATAATCCTCGGCTTCAGTGTCTGATGTCCTGAGCTGCTCAGTACTTATGTCCAGAACTTCATTCGTCTCCTCCACAATGGTCCTCATGGTGTCCGGCTCCTCAAGGGGTTCTTCAGCTTGTTGCTTCCTAGTTCTCGGTCTTCTGGTGGAGGTAGGCTGCCGGGGCAAAGTCTGATCATCCTCAGATGAAGAAGCAGGTGGTCCTGAGGTGTTCTTCCTCCCCTTGGTTTGCCTCTTTAGAGGGATCTTTTCTGCAGGTGGATCTGCAGCCGCTTTGGCACCACGCCCACCTCTCCTTGACGGTTGCTTTTTAGTAGCATCTGCTTTTACTTTGAGCTCTGCTTGAGACGAAGGCTCCAAATCACTTTCATCACTGAACTCCACCTGTGTTTAAGAAAGCCGTTAGGACATTGCCCAGTCAGGGTATGGGAGTACTAAACCAACATTAACTCTCTACTTGCCTTGAAACGTGACTTATTGGGCCGTTTAGGAGCTGCAGGCACGGGCTGGCCTTTATACTGATCTGGTGATAACTCTTCATACACGTTGAACTGAAGCTTAGAGGCAGTCCTTGATGCTTTCTGTACCGAAGCAGGGCACTTCACCTTCTGAACTGGGGTGAAGGCCAAAGTGGGCACGATGGTGTTAAAGTCAAACGTGCCGAGATCTCCACGAGGAGACTTTGTTGTTATTGGTGTCATGGGAACCAGACTCTTTTCTTTGGTTGAGGTGCTCGTTATGTAAATTTTAGGTTTCACAGCTTTAACTCTCTTTTTCTCCTTTTTTCGGTCGGGATTAGAGTTTTTAGTAGTTTTTTTGAGCACAGAAGAGGGAGGGACTGACTTTTGATCAGTGATGAACTCTTTTGGTGCATTCCAGCTCCAGGCGTCTGAAAAGAGCTCCATTGGGCTGCAGCCTTCTTTTGAAGCCAGAATCATTAGTGATGCAATAGCTTTGGTTGCCATTAGGCCTGCTTTAAAAGGCCTTAGCACAGGAGAGGTGGTGGAGTCTACAAATACTAAACCTGCTTCTAGAGTCTTCCATAGACCACTGATCTTTTTGGGCTTTGTTTGCAGCCCGGTCACAGCCATGCTCAAGTACACACGAGCCACCATGTCCTGCATCAGGGAGGGTTTGGAGACCTCTCCAGCAGAAATACAGGGAGGGAAGAGTTTGGCTAATTGTTCTTTAAGTCGCAAGGTAACGCAATTGCAACGGATTAAAGTCGCTCGGTAAAGTTTGGAAGAGGCGCTGAGGTCGCTAGGATCCAACTGAAGAACCAGATCAGCCTGTGTGGCTGCCCAGCGAGCAGTGACTCGAGCCAAACTGGGCTCAGAGCAGCAAGGAAACGCACAGCTGGGCTCATGAGTCAGAGAAGAGAGCGAGTGGAGAGGCAGAGCTTTGAGTGGAGGAGAGTTGGCCACATCCTCCATCACAGCTTCTTTGGTTATCCACCTGGTGCTCAGGATCTCCTTCAGATCATCATCCAGGGTGGGAGGAGGGGAACGGGCTCTCTGCACTGGACAACCTTTTCTCGGCTTGATTTTCACATCAGTCCTCTGAACCTGAGCAGAAAAATCTAAGAAGGAAGCAAACAAGCTTTATTAAGACTTAAACCAAAAAAATAAACCAAGTTCGATATAGAAACTATTTTACGAAACAATACTAAAAGCAAACATTTACAGGGGGGTTGTATAGGTTGATAGAGGATCTGAGCATACGGGAGGTGTGGCTGTTTGTAGGAACTGAAAAAGATACGTGTGTGTGGTGGTGGTAGTGGGTGGGTGGGGTGGGGGTGGGGGATGTGAATGGCCCTAATTCTTAGTAATATGTAAATGTTCCTGAACTTTATCAGCAGCCCACAAAGCCAACAGTATATCACTGCAGACCCGGAGACTGCAGATTCAGGGTTGTAATGTTTTTGAGACAGCGACCTCTAAAAGACCAACGTGTAACTGCAACTGCAGATTCAAAGCTGCAGACTTGGACACCGCAGATTCACGCCTGCTGCAGATTCAAGCTTCTACCGTTTAACAGTTATGTGTAATTGTCGGAGAAGCTTATTAAAAATAATTTATTCGTTGTTAAAGCTTCAGTGAAGTAGTTCTCCAAATACAAATTTGGAAACTCCTGAGTAACTTTTAATAATAAAAGCTTTTATCATATTTATTTAATTGAAGTTGTAGACACAAACAAACAAACAAAATTAAACTTTTTCCAATTTTCCTGGTTCTGGACATCCTTAGATCAGCCACCTCGTAACACCATGATGGACCAAAACACATATGGCTCATTAATTCAATGTAGAATGCTTTGGAACTTTGCAATGATGAACTGAACACATTTTATTAAAGTAAAACTTTTTTTTAAAACCTAGCTGTATTATTACTGGTCCTTTGGATGGTCCATTATGTTTTTGGTTTTCTTCTTTCTTACTAATTAAACAAATACTGTTCTCCACGTTCTATACACACTCTCTGATCGTACTCCATCTTGGAATGCTAGCAAACAGTGGGCGGCGCCGTCTCAAAAACAGCACAAGCCTGAATCTGCGGTCTCCGGGTCTGCAGCGATAGCCCCCTCAACAAAGCTGCTGAAAAACGGAGGTGATGCGATTAGAGGTGGGTGTTATAGTAATGATATGAGCTGCAGAGTTTAAACCAACTGAAGTTTATACAAGGGCTTCTGTGGCAGACCAAAGAGCAGTGGTCCATGTGAGGAGGGACAAGATTATTTACCAAGATGGCGGTGGCGTGATTAGAGTGACGGACACAGGCAATTAATAGTTCGATGGTCATAGTAGGCTGAACGGGTAACTGCACTGATATGTGAATGGTAGGACAGGGCACAGTCTAGAGCGCTACCAAGACATTTTATCCAAAAAGTTATTTTGTCATTTAAGTATCCAAACAGGAAACTAGTGTTCTCAACAGCCAATGAGAAGGTTCCAGCCCTCCCTAGTGCAGATTTTGTACCCATAAGGACTCCAGTTTTATTGGAGTCCTCTCTGAAATGCAGTCAATGAGTGAAAGAGGCGGAAGCAAAGAGAGGGGTGGAGACATAACTGAGTGTCATTAGCATGACAATAAAAGTAAAGATGGACCCCAGAGATATCAAATAGGGGGGACAAGGACACAACCTTGAGGAACCCCAGGTTACATTTGTGGGTGTGGAAGTAAGTGTTTTCATTTGAATTAACAGAGTTTGGTCTGCGAGATACAATTTAAACCAATTAAGCGGAGAACATGAAATTTCTACTGAAGATAATCATGTCATTAGAGTAGGAGGACCGTGTCAAATGCTGCACTGAGATCAAGGAGCAGGAGGATGGTAATTAGGCCCAAATTAGCAGCAATTAGGAGATTTTAGTCAGAACCATTTCAGTGCTGTAATGGGGCTGAAAAGTTGATGGAAATTGTTCATATAAGCTATTGGTAGAAAGATGGAACTGATGGAGCTGTAAAGTTAATTTGTTTTTTAGAATCTTTTAAATGAAAGGATGATTAGGGATTGGTTATTTAAGTTACTAGTGTCAGCTCCAGGTTTTCTCCAACACTGGGTGAATTACTGGAGTTTTCATAGGCTGGTGGACGATGCCAGTAGAGAGTGAAGACGTAATAATGGATAAAATGAGGAATCAAGGCCAGAAGGCAGGTTTTAACCAGAGCAGGAGGGATAGGATCCAGTTGGCAGGTGGAGAATAAGATCCATGATTTCTGAGGTAGATGGGAGTGCGAACATAGAAAAGGACTCATTGACATCAGTGATAGGACCCAGATTGCTTTTTTTCATTAAAAATGACATTTGGGACAGTAAGGAACCAGGAGGACTTGTTAATGATCTTAGCAGAGAGAGCAGACTTTATTGGAGGATATTATGGCATTGAAATAGCTAGTTTTAGCCCATTTTTATACCATCCCAGTAAAAAAGCATGTGACATGAATACAGTCCCTTGTGAAAATGTCTGGACCTTTTATATTGGTGTTCAAGTGGATGACCTTTAGCTTTAAGAGTATGCGGTGCAGGTGTGAACCAAGGTGCAGTGTGCTGGAAGGTGAATGATCTGGTTTTAAGTGGTGCCACTGAATTTAAAATCTCAAGGATATCGTTGTAGAAGGAAACTAGGTCAGATGGAGAGAGAGATTGTAGTGTTTCCATAAAACCTTTAATAAAGAAAAGAAAATGGACCATATTGGTGTTTCTCGGATTCTGGAAGATGATGGAGAGAGTAATCTAAATGATGCATCAGAATTCCAACCTGTGCAGGACTCCAGAAGATTTCGGACAATGTTCAAGTCACTTTTACTCTCCTCTCTCTCCCCGTGCATCAGCTCCAATTCTGCTTTCATCACCAGCAATTCTGCACATCTGAAAGTAAAAGAAAGCATTAAGTGTTCCGTTGTGTTTACCTGGGTTCATGATACTCGTCTGAGGTGTTCTTTGCTGTAATGTTTTCAGCATCTTAAGACACATTACATCAAGTTTTTATTGTCTTCATAAACCAAACAGAACTGATAACAGTAAGATTTATTACATCAAGCCAATTATATCTGGGGTGGGGGTGGGGGGGCTCCTTTATTGATCCTATGTTAATAGTGGGTGTACATACTGGCTGAGTGTTTGGAGCTTGATGGCCAACTTTAAGGCTTCTAGGCACTGGAGTCTTGCGTCGTTTATAGCGCCGCAGCTGCTCCGCACAGCCACCATCTTCTTGGCGCAGTTCAGCAGCTCTGAGAGCAGCTGCCATTTCAGCATCAGGTTATCTCCTGAGAAAAGTGACAGACTCACTCTAAGAAAACAAACAAGAAGCAGTGGTGCTTCAGGAGGTGGAACAACCATACCTTGATGGACGAAGCGCATGTCTGAGTTGCTGCCTTGAGTCCCATAAAGGCCTTTTCCCACCAACGTGACCAGTAAGCTGCAGAGAAGCTTCAAACTCTCATAAAGAGCAGAATCTGGAGTATTTATACCTGAAAAAAACAAAACAAAAACAAGACAGGACATTACTCATATTTACTTATGTAAACACTCAAAATAAAAACAAGAAGTGTTCTCACTAACCATGCTGTGTGATTAGGCTTCGTTTGGTTTTGGGCAGCAGAGCCACGTCTAGATTCAGGTAGCAGCTGCAGGCCTGGAGTGTCCGAGCGCGTAGCAGATACCAGCTCTTTGACTGTCTTTGCTCACTAACTTTAAGCACCTCGCAGAGATGAGGAACTCCATGGTCAACCTGAAATAAAAGCAGGCATTAAATCAAAATGTGAGACGTGCCACTAGCAGAAGTGCTGCAGCTATACATACCTGTCCTGTGCTGAAGTAGTACTGAGCTTTTAATAAAACAAGCATCATTGAGAGAGACGAAGGTTCGTCGTCTGATGCATCTGAAGTCAGGATCTGCTCTGCCGCCTCTATCTGAGCCTAAAGAACACAAGTTGAATTAGAAAACTGATATTTGATTAAAAAAAATAAAGTGAGGTTCAACTGAATTTACTCAGAGAAATCCAAACAAAACAAAAATTACCAGAGCCAGTTCAGGACTGCCCAAATCCAGGAGGATGTTGGCTGACTGACAGAGAGCGCTAGCACAACTCCGAACATCGGCGAGTTCACGGGAAAATTTAACCCCAAGCTGGTAAGCTTCCAAAGCCTTTAGGGGCTGTGATGACAAAAGATTAAGAGACTTTAGTTAATGCAAATGTGTGACCCTGAGAGACACCGTAAAAAACTCTCAGCCTAACATACATTTGTGGTATTTTAAATGACTGTTCTCTACTGAAGCAGCCATCAAAAATAATAAACCTAAAATCTTTTGCTACAGAGGAGAAAGTAGAAACCAAGCATGGTCGTTACCTTCCCCATGAGTCTGAAGAGAGCTGCAGCCGTAGAGACGGAGCTACAGGTCTGCTTGGCGTTCCTGACAGCAGCCAGGGATCCATTTGTAAAAAGTGAAGTCCATTCATTCAGAGCCCTCTCCAACGGCAGACATGCCTCTTCAGAAAAAGATTAATTATTGATATTTATGTTCTGAATAACCAGATTTCAATTCTAAATGCTGCTTAGAGTCATTGGTATGTTTAAAATCAACAAATCAGTTTCATAAAGTGGATTAATTGACCAAATAAAAAACGTGGATCCTTACTATCTTCAGCAGCCATGTTGAACTGAAGCCCTTCATAAACCAGACTGTCCTGCGTCTTCTGCTTGTCTTCATAATCAAAATCATTATTGCCAACTAGATTTGACACACACGATGTCTTCTCATGCAGCTCTCTTCGTTTTCTGTCATTTTCAATAGCCTGGAAAAAAATGTTGCCAAGATGTGATGAGTATAAAAGTACGACTTTACAAAAATAGAGTAAAATATGTCATTTTTTTCTTACATGATTAAAATGGCTCTGCTTTATCAACAGTTTGAAGTACATTTCATTGTTTAGTAATTTTTTTTGACAAATATTACAATTAAAGGGGCCATGCCATGACTTTTTCTTAGGGAATAATTGTTCTAAGGTCTATACAAAACATGTTCATGTTTTTTGCACAATCCCAGCCTCACACAAAGCAATCTCAGCAGTTCTGTTCTTGACATTTTCAGTACCTTCCAGAATGAGACGCTTCAGGGCTCTGTCGCTTAAAAAAAATGGAGGTCACTCATTTAATGAATACATTTGCAGTGGCCCCTAGAACGAATGCCTTGCAAGTCATACTCGAGAGGAGGGAGCAAGCTCAGCTGTGCCTGTTGCAGGAAGTACCAGTCAGCTAAAGGAGAATCTAGCTTAAGATGATAAAATTTGGAGTCCCTTCCTGATATTTGGACATCTCGCCTCTGATTGGATAAAAGCAATGTGACTCCACCACCGACTCTTGCTCTGCAACGTTGCTGTGTTATTTGTGGAGATAAAACAAGCCTGAAGGAGTTCTGTCATGGGGCATCGCTAATGCTAATGGTTAGCTTCCACTAGTTAACACATTTTCTGCTGATTCCTGGACGCCAAACCAACAGCCTTCCCCATCGCTAGTCATCACGGATGAGTCCGTGAATGTTCAGTGACAGTGTGATACAGATCTGTCAGACTTTTCAAATCCTAGCAATTATCTATCAGAAGCTAATACAGGAAATACAGGAGATAGGTGTAGAAGACAATTTTCATGTTCAGCCTGCATGAAAAACTCAGTGACTGATAAACACTTTAAAGAAAACAAGCTGGCCATGCCCACCCATCAGTCAAACAGGCTGCTATAAGCTGAGAAGCTCTGATATCCGGGAGGGGCTCGGAGTAGAGCCACTGCTCTTTCAGCAGCAGCTCTCTCTTGCACATAAAAGATGGTTCTATTATAACATTTTCATTTGTGACATCACAAACAGGGACCTTTTGAAATGGCTTGTTTTAGATACATAATTCCTAAAACCAAACTTTTTTTCTCTCCATGTTTGGAGTGTTTATAGACGAAACCCACATGGCAGCACAAAATGATGCAAAAGGTGAGTTTTGCATAACATGTCCCCTTTAAAAGTATGACACAGAAAAAAAAAACACCCCAAAATTTGTAAGATAACAGAGGATGTTTCACCTCCTGGAGTTTCTGCTCCAGTGTGCAGATGTAAAGCCAAAGTAAAGCATGAGCTTTGTCATCCTTCAGCTTGTCAGCATTCTCCAACACCTCAGGTTCTTCTTCAAGAAGCCGCAAAGCTTCATGGGTAAAATCAACGGCCATGCTGTTTAAACAGAAACAAAATAAACAGCAAAAGTGTTCATCTGAGGGTGTAAACCTTTCAAATACACCCCTTAGACAGTAGAGTTAGAATCGTCATAATCATTAAATAAATGGAGTCACCAGTCAGTTTGCTCCCTGAAGTCCTGAAAACAGACCACTTGGGCCATTTCACAGAGGTAGACAGCCCGTAGATGAGTGTGGGAACTCTCTGCGTGGCAGATGTCCAACAGGTCACACAAAGTGTTGTAGCGCTCTTGGGTCGTGTCTCTCGCCAACTCCTTATACGCACGCAACTCTTCTTCCAAAAGGCAAAGCATGAATTTCTCTTCAGGAACGTCAGGACCAAAACCATCCCGTAATGTCCTGTTTCAGGAAACGACGGATTTTAAGCAAAACACAAACAAAAACAAAGCCACTAAATAGTTCTTCTCTGTACCTGAGTCTTATGTCCTCATCATCATTACGGGCAGCATCACTTTTTGTTTTAACCCACAGAGAGACCGGTTCAGCCATGTGAGCCATCATCTGGTCTCCAAGGGCTTTCAGCCACAGGATCACCCACTTCAGGGCTCGATCCAGCGCTTCGGCTCGTCGCGAGGTTTGCACGGCCAGCATGAATGGTCGACTCAGCTGGGTGGTCACGATATAAATAATATTAGCTACAAACCATCAAAAAGCTCAGAAACACCAGTTTTAAACCAACCTAACAGAAACAAAACACCTTCAGCTGCAGGAACTAATTAGAAAACAACATTTCGATCAGGATAAGTATCAGTTGGATCGACTTACTCTATCAGCAGTAAGTGAGACAGGATGATTCTTGCATAAACTTCTGCAAAGGATTTCCACCAGAGAGAAGGCCTGCTCATACAGACGCCGGTTGTAAAGACCACAAGCCACGTTGCTCACAGCAGTCACTACGAGGCACAACAGTGTGTACAATAAATAAATACCTGCATTCAGTAATGATGAAGAAACATTTATGTTAGGATTCATTTCAGTCACCGGTTTTGTTCAAAAGGTTTTCATTGGGCGCCTTGTGAAGTTCTGTCATCAGTAGCCCAGCCGTGGACTGGCAGTAGAGGAGGACTCTGTCCAGCGTGTCCCTGTCCTCCAGCTAGGACCCAGAAACAATCAGCATCATTACTAAAATCCAAGTCTAAAATTCAACATTATGCTGCACTGGGGCCATGCTTAACTTACCATCATCATGAAAGTGTAAATGTGTTCTCACCTGTGATGCAAGCATGCTCTCATAAGCAAATAGGAATCCTTGGTAAATACTGACACAAAGGACCTGCTGCAGCCTGCTGCTCTCAGCCTGGCACATCAAACTCTGGGAAGAAAAAAAATATATACATGCGAGGTTTTATTATTATTTTTTAGATAAAAACGTTTCACTGTCTAAAGTGTCCCACTAACCTTTTTTTGCATTTTCATTATCCATTCTTGATACTCCTCAAGGAATGAAAACAGCGCCAGAAGTTCTGGTCCACTTAATCCTTTACTGTGTCCACTTTCAACAGCCCATATCACTAGATTACCACCTTCAAGAGCTGCCTGACCCTCCCCTTTACCCAGGTCAGCTGAGAGAGACCTCAAAACCCTGGCACACTCCATCAAGACTCGGCTGCACTCTTTACCGGCCGTCAACGCTGAATGAATCTTTATTCCCCATGTGGCCAACACCAGAGGCATGCACTTTGAGCCAACACGGTCGAAAATCATCTTCTCAGTTTCATCCAAGAGGGTGGAGGCTAGACCGTGGTGGCTTGCCTTACAGAGGGCCTTCACAGCGAGCAGCGCCATCTCAGAAAACACATAAAAACTTGATGCTTCCATAGGCTGCCTGAAAGTACCCTGTTCACAATTCTGCACACTTGAAAAACATGTGTTAAAAAGTGTCTGCACTTCCTGGAGGAGAAAAGAAGCATCATCTGGTGTCACTGTCCCACATCCATCTTCAAACTCGGTGATGGCATCATATGTGTACATCAGAGCTTTAGAGGTGGGAACTGCCTTTTCTGTGTCCAACAACAGGAAGCTCAAAGCTTGAAACTGGCAATGAAGTTTGTCCTGTGGATTGAGTATTTTTTTGTCTTTGGAAGCAGACAGTCCAGTCCACAGAACAGAGAAGCAGCTTCGCACAAGAACATGGAAATCATCTTGAGCCTACAGATATTACAAACCACAGTTACTCTGACAAAGACCACACAGCAGGGATGTTGACATATGTGAGAACTGTTTGGTGATACATACCTGCTGTGCTGTGGAGAGCCTTTTATAAAGCAACCCTGCCACTTGGCTACAAAGAGTGTGAACCTCTAGAGAACTTAGCTTCTTCACAATATGGAAAATGATCTTTTCCATGTAAAACGGACTGGTCTGAGCCACGAGCTCTGCAGAAACATCATAACCACGAAGAGAAAGCTCCACCAGATTCACTAAGGCCTTGATGTGACCCAGGGGACAAGATCCAACTCCAAGGTGATGGTTACAGGCTCTGATAACCCTGTCACACAGCGTGCGTCCCTGGAGTCCAGGTTTACTCAGGATATGCGTCTGAGAAACGTAAAACAGACATATTCACGTCCTAATGCAAGAAAATACACGTAGATGTAAACAGTTTTTAAATTCCATGAATGCCAAACAAAGTACTGGTCCTTGGGCTGGTACGCATTTTTATAAAGGACTAGAGTAGTGTTGCTAAAAACAAGCTAACCTCCAATTCCTGGTATAAAAGCTCCGTCTCTTTAACAGAAGCGGTCCGCTTGATATATTCGTCCACTTTCAAACACTTCATGTTGACGTATGTAGCAGACACTGTAGAAAAAAGTAGAGCAGGTTAAATGGGATGCTAATCATAGCGGAACGCCGACCAAATGCGCTGCTTTAGGCTAACAGTTAAACTTGCTAAAGCCATCAGCTGGAATTCTTATGAACCGTTAGGTTACTCACCCTACAACATGAAAACAAGACACTTGCTGTTCATACTAACTCCTTTAAAGCCAAGTACTGCCAAACATTAAAGATAAATCCGTGCACTATTACCCGAATGCAACGCGCGCGCTGTTTTTGAATGAAAAGTAACCAATCAGACCTGAGCCATTCAGGTTCCAAGGAGACGCAAAGGATTATGGGTGTCGGAGTTTTTAAGAATCCTGCGTTGGTCTGCTTCCGGTCTGGTCCCCAGAACAAAGCGGGCTTATGCCCTGCATGATCGCACATATGTTCTACTTTAAATGAAAGGCAAATATGTGTGTTTTGGCTATGTCTGTTATGCACTTTAACCCCCAGAGACCCACGGTTGTAATATTACAACATCAGATTTAAGTCTACAAAAATAAACCTTCCCCATTTTTTTTCTTTTTAAAACCACATTTACATTGCCAATAGGTCCTATTGTTCAGTTCTGCAACACTATTGGCTGTTAAAATGTGTAAATAGGCCCGTTTATCTGGCCTCCTGTAACAACATGTGAAAGGTTAAAAAAGATTTTGCAGTTGTTTTCTAAATTTGGGTCTCTGGGGGTTAAGGTTTATTAGCTTGTAAAATTTTGTATTACAACTACACTCTAGCAAGTGTGACATCACCACAGAATCTCTTCTCCCAGCATAGTTACTTATGGGGTGCCATTTGTAAAGTCAAACAGTCATAATCTAACAGCAATATTTTTGGTTATTTAGCATATTATAAGAAAAAAAATTGGGAGTTCACTTTTTCAAAGTCATATTTTCACCATGTTATTCATACATTTATAAATGTTAAAGTTTCCAAATAAATATTTAGTTAGCAAACTAAATATTTAATTTATAGTTAAATATTTATTTTGCAAACCAAATATTTAGGTCTAAGCTAAATATTTAGTTTGTAAAATAAATATTGAATTCACTAATTAAATATTTAATTTCCTAATTAAATATTTATTTTGGAACTAAATAATTAATTTGTAAATTAAATATTTGATTTGTAAATTAAATATTTATTTTCTGAAAAAAATATTTAGATCCCAGCTAAATATTTATTTTAGAGCAAAACATATACTTTGCAAAATCAGTATTTGGGAAGTAAATATTTAAGTCTGACCCAAAAATATAAAATATAGTGTGGAGCTAAATAACATCGTGGAAAAAAAATATTTAGCTGGTACGTAAACATTTTGCTAATATGCAAATTTGCTTACCAATAAGCGGAAGTTGGTTACCAAAATAAAAGCTGGATCTCGCTAACCTCTTTATAAACTCTTGCTCCGAACCAGAACTTGTTTTATCTCCGGTTCTGTTCTTCTTCAGCCAATACGTCGGCCACGCCTATCTTCTTCCATTTAATGACAATGTTATACATCGTGTGTGTGTGTGTGTGTGTGTGTGTGTGTGTGTGTGTGTGTGTGTGTGTGTGTGTGTGTGTGAAAACAACGTTTTATTTGATTACTACCCGTTATTACCTTAACGACCCTCTTGTAAAGAGCTTATTTAAAATGTACATTTCCTATCCTGCATCCTTTCTCTTATATTTATTCTACTATTTTATTTTAATGTGTGTTTTGTTTTTATATTGGTTTATTTTTTATGTTTAATTTTTAGAATCTCTTTTAGTTGTTCATGCATCGTGAGAATGGACAAATAAGGTTTGGCTTCAACTCATTCCAATTTTGATTCAACTATTTCACAACCGATCAATGTACAAAACTCTTTTAATCAAATTAAACATTCATTCCTTCTATTTCTACCTGTAGCAGGTAGAGAAAAGAGGAGAATGAGGACTTGCATAGCAAAAATGAACTATTGCGTCTGTACAAAAGACACTTAAAGCTTTACCTTTCAACGCTTTGTCGGCTTGTTCAGAAGATGATCCTGATCTAGTCAACTTTATAAAATAATAGATCAAAAAATGTAATGTTACTTATTTAGTATGAGTTTCTTCAGCCCATAATTTGGCACAGAGGGATGGTGTAGCCCATGTAGCCTACAAGATGCCCAAAAACAAGAAATAAGAAAAGGCTCACTAAAGTGCAGGCACTTGATGCAGCAGCAAATACAGTATTATCCTGCTCTGGTAAAAGCTCATTGCAGTTCAACTCAATGCTCATGTTAATCAGACTTTTGTAGTTTGGGTGTTTTCTTATTTTCTTTCTTTTTTTATTTTATTTTATTTTTATTTATTTTTTTTGCAGATGCAACAAAAGAAAGGAGACTGTGACTTAGTGACAGGATTCTGCTAAAAAGCATCTGAAATAGCCTACGTTTATTTGTCTGTATAAATAACAGTGGCTTGACTTTGGGTACAACTAACTCAAATGATACACAGAACACAGTTGGGTGGATTTAAATTTCAATGAAAATTTCTAAAAATTAGTGATTAAAAACATTTCAAGGTATATCAAAACCTCAGTGCACTAACTGTCTAAGCTAGAGACAACTGAGAAATATTTTACACCTCAGCTCATCGAAATTTCCAGTAAACAAAATCAATCACACACAGGATTTGACTTCATATTTTGAGTCCAAGAGTGTTTTGTTATCATTTCTTTATTTCTAAAGCACTTTCCTTAAAGCTGAGTTTACACGGCGCTTCAGGGATAGACCACGCCCAGAGTCACCATGTTGAAAAGCTACTGAGAAACAAAGCTTCTCTTCTTGATGACATGCTCCATTGCAGCCCGCTCAGACGTGTCCAGGTTGATCTTGTACTTGGCCAGGATCTTTAAGATGGGCCTCAGCCTCAGCCACCACTGGGTCTTTGGAATACGATGTCTGCAGGAGACAACATGAAAACAATGAAATAAGGCAAAAAATAAAACAAACATGAAGTTTGTCAGAAGTCACCGATGAAAAACTAAATGAAGTCATTTTTGTTCTGCATGTTTTTTATTAATTCATCAATGTTTTGAAAGTGTGTTTTTATGACGTGTCTTATCTGCAGCAGATATTTATGTGTTGCGACATTTGTCTATTCAAATACCTTAAGCTGATGCATTTTTTTATCTTCAAAAACTATTTGATTTTCTGTTAGAACATCATTAAGAGGCTTAAAAAATGTTTTAAGCTAATTTGTTTTGCAGATTCGCCATTGTAGCTTTAAAGAAGTTGATGGCAGTCGGAAGTTTTATAACATCACAGTAGTCACTCTGACAGTTTGTGGACTGAAGCTGTTTCCAGAAGACATAAATACACTTTGGTCTTGGATGTAAACTTTATCTTCCCACCCAGACTGAAATAAAACAGCATTATGTCAGTTATCTAGACTTAACAGTATTGTACTGAAATAAATACAATTTCTTTATGTTGTCATACATTATAACACTCTTAAAGTAACTTTCTAAACATTGTTAGTTGTGTGTTTGAGAGTAGGAGTCAAGATAAAAAATTAGGGAGGGCGCCAATGAAGTCTTACTCAAAGTCAGTCTCATTTTTAAGTTCTGCCAGCGGCTGGAAGACTAAAGCACGTTTCCTCATTCCCAACACACAGGCTGAATCCTTAGAGTTGGCAAAGATGCGACCTGGAAGTTTGATTTGAAATCACAACACTGATGAGCACAGAAACAAAAACAGAATAAAACAACACAACTTGTTCTTTGAGTATCTTTGAGTCCTCACCGTGTCTGTAGCATTCCTTCAGCTTGTCAGTCAGCCAAAGAACAGACTTCATCCCCATCTTTGTGCCAAAGTTCCTGTCAAACGGACTGGGCGTTCCACCCTAAGCAGAAAAAACAGATTAAACTACACTTGTGACAAGGAATTTGTTAAAACAATGACATATGTAGCAGTGGCAAAGCAACAGAAGGTAAGTGAGCAGCAGACCTGCTGCATGTGGCCCAGAACATTTTTTCTGCAGTCAAACACACCCTTGCCCTCCTCCGAATACAGGTTGAAGATAAAGTCAGTGGTGTAGTTTGCGTTGCATTTCTCATTTCTTAATCAATAACAGAGAAAGAGAAGGAAGAGAAGCCCCGAATGAAAAATGTAAAAATGATTATGAAGACGATAAATGGAGGGATTCTATCTAACCTGAGAATGAGTCCCCTCTTCACGGTGGTCTTCATCTTTTCCACCAGATGGTCCACATTCAACTAAAAACAAACCTCAGATCACTTTATCACTGATGGATGTCATTGGCTTCCTCTCATACATCACACACACACACACACACACACACACACACACACACACACACACACACACACACACACACACACACACACACACACACACACACACACACACACACACACACACACACACACACACACACACACACACACACACACACACACACACACACACACACACACACAGTAAAAAAACGGAGTGTTAAATTTGCAGTGTAAACTTAGTTTAACCTAGATAGAGTATTTACAACTAGTTGCAGAGTAAACCAGTTCACAGCAGAGTTAAAAGCCAGTGTTAAATTCTGCGGACATGCTGTGTTAATTTCTTCTCTACAGAGAGTTATTTTAATTTCCCAGAGTGCTTAGAGGCATTTTAGATGTGATCTGGCTGAACCAGGAGTGAGAGGGAAGTGTCTGTTCTTGGCCTTACCGTGTCTGCTATCACAAGGTGTTTTGCTGTTCAGCACTGCTGTTAATGTTCATGCAGGGTATTTAACCCCCACAGTATTGTGAAAGTGGACAGTGAATTTCAATGTTGCAATTGTATTTGGGAATGGTAATCTTGCCATTGATGGTAAATGCATTCACAGCTTCCTTTTCTCTGAGTTTACTTTTGGTATATATATATATATATATATATATATATATATATATATATATATATATATATATATATATATATATACATGAACTAGATCTTTAATTTAACACTGGGGAGAGGCAAGATTTAACTCTGGAGGAATAGAAAATAACACCGGAGAGTGTTATCAAACTGCAGCATTAAATATTTTTACACATTTCAATGGCAATTTTAACACTAATGTGAGTAAATTTAACACAGAAAATGTAACACTGTCTAAAGAGTAAATTTTACTATTTTCGAGTGGGACCAAATGTTATCTGCATGTTATCAACTCTCCTAGAGTTGAAATGACACTGGATTTTTTACTGCAAACACACACACACACACACACACACACACACACACACACACACACACACACACACACACACACACACACACACACACACACACACACACACACACACACACCTCAAGATCGTGAATGCTAAAAGGTTCTTCATAAATGTATGCAGCGTCAGCTCCAGATGCTAACCCAGCCATGGTTGCTAGGTAGCCACAGTATCCTCCCATAGTCTCAACAATGAACACTCTCCTCTTAGTTCCAGCAGCAGATTGCTTGATCCTGTCACATGTCTGCAAACACAAACCCATCATAGGATATTAAAACAGTAAAAAATAGTCCTGACTGTGTTTTATGTCAAGTCAGAAGCTCGCCATAGTTATGGTGTTGAGGGCAGTGTCAGTGCCGATACTGAAGTCCGATCCTGGAACATTGTTGGAGACCGTAGCAGGAATAACAACAAGTGGAATACACAGTTCCTCATACTTTTCTCTGGCTTGCACCATCTCCATACCACCCAGGAATGCCTGTTTGGAAGAGAAGAACAAGTGAGTCTCACCGGTACTGTAAAGAGACGCAATGATAACCAGACAAATCTGCCGCCACATTTACCAGAATGAAGCCCTGCTCACCTCAAAGCCTCCAATGATGATGATAGCATGGATGTTGAACTTAGTGATGTTCAGACTGATCTCTTCTATGAACTCACTCGGCAGAGTTCTTCAAAAACAAAAAGAACAAAACATAAAATATCATCTCTGCAAAGTTTAAGGTAAAAAATAACTGTTTCGTACCTCTTTGTGCCCAGCATGGATCCACCTTTCCCAGTCCATCCTGCCACTCCAGACCAACCGATAGGCTCAATCTGTGCAGGGGAGAGCATGCATGCAGGTTACATACTGTCATAAAACAAAACAGTGATTTTTTAAAAACTATCAAAAATAGTATTTAGCATGAATAGATTTAAATGCATTGCATACAACTGAATTTGAACTGGACCTGTTTGATTGTCCACTGGGAGGTGATGTATCAATAAACTGAACAGAATTTTAGATGTCATTTACCGTTTCACATTTATAACCCAAGATAATGTTGAACACCAGACCACACACACAGTATTGATGTGCAAATATGTTACCATCCCATGCGCCAGGCCATCAAATCCGTCATGCACCGCCAGCATCTGGTGACCCTGAAGGAGCCCAGTCCTGACAGCTGCACGAACTGCAGCATTCATCCCTGCGCAGGGGGCTCCTACGTTCACTAAGGCAATGTTGATATTACTCTGACGAAGACAAATTCACAGGAAATGTCATCAGATCAACCACAAAACTCATAGCTGAGAGGGAGATCTTTCTGAATGAAACAATAGTAATGTAGTTCTGAACCTTTGTGTCTGGTGGGCGCACGTGAGCCAACATTTTGTAAGTGTTCCAGTTGTTCTCAAAACTCCTAGGAAAATAAGAACAGCATCATGCAGCCATTTGCAACAAACCACAGAACAAGATTTGTTCTTCAAAAATAAACAACGCAAAGGTGCATGCCTCACTTTCCCCTGAGCTTCACTGCATCTTCATACCGCCCTTCTGACATTGCTGTTGTGACGTCTTTAGTCTAGAATGTAAAACAAAGTGGTAAACACATTTAAACAACACTACTTAAAATGTTAAACCTATAGCCAGGTTATGTCCCTCCCTTGGTAATGTTTGAGTTGACTTACGACTTGCACGCACTCCATGAGCGGCAGCCTGACAGCCATGTTTCCAGACAAGCTGACCACACAGGCAGGAGTATCAGGTGTGGCCTCCAACAGGGCCATAACTGCTTCCACACCCATCCTGCTTGCCTGAAAAACAACAAAACAAGAAGCAAGACAGTTAGAAGAACTTAAAAAAAAACAATTTTAATGATAAGATCAACTGTTAAAAGGTTTTACCAGGATTCTGTCAAACGCAGAGGGAGTTCCTCCTCTCTGAACGTGGCCCAGGACTGTGGCTCGAGTGTCGAAGCCTAGCTTCGTTGATACCAACTTCAAAAACACAAAGTTAATTATCTCTTTGCTTTATATAGTGGCGTGTCCAGATCTTTTAAAATGGGGTGGCCCAGGTGAGGCACAGCTTTGTGCATGGGTAGCACCAATGGTTATGCCTTTTTTGTTTTACCCCCAAGCCTTTTGTGGACAATGAAAAGACTATTTAAAGGTAAATTAGTGTGTTAGCACCCTGGGTGGCCAATCAGATTCCAAGGGTGGCATGTGCTACCCCAGGCCACTCCCTGGACACGCCCCTGGCTTTATATAAACTGAGTTTGTGTTATAATTAGTTACTCACCTGTTTGATGATGTCACAGGTGATTGGTTTCCCACTGCGGTCTATTGCTCCCTCTGCAACAATGATGATGTTCAGCCGAGAGCCACGGCCTCTTTGCTAAAAGGGAAAAGGTCACAGGGTCAACGTGAAGCCAGACTGATCATGAAGATGATGATTCAGTGCAAGATGCTTGCATCAGTCAGTCTTCTGGACAGATGCTCCTCCCATCCGTCATCTGGGGGCATCTCTGGGATGAACACCCAGTCAGCACCACAGGCCAGAGCGGTCACCAAGGCAAGGTAACTGTAAACATAAAATCACAACAGCGTCAGCATCGCTCACCAACCAGACGTCAGCTGAAAACATTTTAAATAACCATTTTTTGGAAATTAAAGATGGATAATAGAAAACAAGCAAAACACTAGCTTTGTTTGAGACAGTGCTAGTAAAATTGTTTCCAGCTGCATTTCATTCTAGTAACATATTCTTGGTGATTGAATAAATGAACATTTTTTTTGTTTGAGAGGTTGCTGAAGACTGAGAAGTAAAGGAGAGATGCTGCGATTTTGATCGTGATTTTGACTTTGCTCAGAGACTTGGCCGGGACCATAGCACACAGTTGTGAGAAAGATATATTTTTTAAATTAATGGAGTAATTGAACCTAATATTAGTTATAAATGTAGAAACGGGGTGCAACAAAATAACTGTAGGCTTCTTCATACTCCTTTTGAACTTGTTCATGTACAATCCACTTTTTGGAGCCTTTGACCATGTTACATTGCTATTTTCTGTTGCTAATGTTTTATTGTTTTGCACATAAATTTATACATAAATTAATTTCACTTCCTCAAAGCGATTTTCGGGTTCACACGTGCATTTTCATGCCTCAGCTGCAAATTTATGCTGGTGTGTCCAGCAGGCTGCAGACAGCCTGATGTGGTTGTTGCTGCATCATCACACCCCAATTCTCCCTATACAGGGAGTATCGAGTCTGGATACCTCCTCCCCTGGGGCCTCATTTATCAAGCTTGCTTACGCACAAAACAGGGTTGGAAAACTGCGTAAGCAACTTTCCATGCAAACTTTGGGATTTATGAAAGAAAACGTAGCGGAAAAATGTGCGCAACTTTAAGTTGACTAAGGACCTGGCTTACGCACATTTTGGACATGGAGAGCATGTACACCATGTTTGATGGATCACAAACCTACTTGGCATAAGTACATTTCTTTTTGCTGAGCTTAAGTACGGTTTTAGTAAGTATTCTACATGATGTTTGATAATGAGACCCCTGGACTGTAAACACTTACACCTGGACTCTAGCAGGGAGTTTAATTTCCACAAATATGATTAAGTAATTTTTTAAACCTAATCTGCAGTTTAAATAATGCCTAGAACCCCAAAATGGGTTTTTGTCTGCAAGAGGAACATCCTCTCATTGTAGTGTGGAAAAAAATAAAATAAAATCAAAAAGCCTACAGTGGATTCGAAATAATCTATTGTGTCCATCCAGAGATGAGCATCCATTCCATTCCTTCAGCTGCTAATGAACAGGGTGTCTTCTAAATGGAACGCAGCCCTTGTTAATAAATTTACACTTTTCCTACTTCCGTAAGTCAAATTTTTTTGTGAATTAGACTTGCTCGGCTGCGTTGGTTGTTACTGATCTTATTGTAATGCATGTATATTTTAGATGGCATTCGACCACCACACCTCATACAACGTGAATTCAAATAAAATCTAAAAACTTTTTTCTTTTTTCACTGTGATGTTTAACATTACCAAGTGCAAGTGGTGTACTCACCCACAGTGCCGACCCATTACCTCCAGGATGAAGGTCCTCTGGTGACTGCAGAGAAGAAGGATACTTAAACACAAGTTCAACTTGGTTGCCTGCTGTTTCCATCTTTAAACATTCAGAAGTCTGACTGCGTACCTCTGTGCTGTGGTTGTGATGGCATCCACTATTTCTATGATGCGATGCAGAGCACTGTCAGTGCCGATGGTCATGTCTGTCCCGCAGAAGTCATTGTCAATGGAGCCCACCATGCCAACAATGTTAAGGTGGGAGGAATTCTTGGCCTCATTTGAGCTGATTTTTCCTGGACAGAGTCACGTGACGATGACTGATAAACCCGTGCAACACAATGCTGACTGAAGAGAATCACAAAATTACAGGTTTATTAGAAATATTACACATAGAATTGAGTCTCACCAGCTTTAATGAGGTCTGCCAGCAGGTCTTTCCACTCTGTCCTGAACTGGTTGGCACCCGTTAGACTGCCGTCACCTCCTATGACACATAGGTTGGTGATTCCCAGCTTGACTAAGTTATAGGCGGCCTTGGTGCGTCCCTCTTTGGTGCGGAAATCTTGACAGCGAGCACTACCAATTACGGTTCCACCCTGGTTGAAGGTAAACAAAAAAGGAACGATAATTTTAAACTCAAGTTAAAGATCCATTAAACTTTTTAATGACCGTTGGCATTTAAGTGACTGTTTGACCTACAGAGCTGCACCATGCAGAAAAAACTACACCGTGATCACGTCAGATACTGTATATAGCTCCGGTTCTCACCAACTGCAACATCATTGATACGCTCTCCCAAGTAGCAGGACGGATATGATCCCCTCCATCCACCAGACCCTGGTAACCCTGTCAGCATGCGACAAAATGTAACACAATCTCACTTCCTGGAAAAAAGGTCATTGCTAGGAAAAAGGTCAAGGTTTAACCATGCAGGAATTCATCCTGACAGAAGCAGCTGTTTGAGTCACACAAATATTTTTCTTTACATACAAAGCTGTAAAGGGCAAATAGTTTATCTGAAGCAAATATTGGGATTAATTAAATAATTCTTAATCTAGCAGAAGAAGCCAACACAAGTTGCACATTCTTGTTATGGAGCATTAGAATGGATTCATCTCTCAGTTTATGATTGTTGGATTGAACAAAAAAATTATTTGCGTTTGTTTTGAAAGATCACAAAGAGGGTTTTTACCTCATGAACAAAGAACACCTTAGCTCCAGTGTACAGTCCTACTCGAACAGTGGCTCTCACAGCTGCATTCATGCCTGCAGGAAGAGTTTGTGGATTTATTTCTCATCAGCATATGCGATCATCACTTGGAAGCTGTCTTTTCCTGCTTTTAAAACATTATTTTTGTACGCTTTAAAATCTTAACCGTTTTGGGATTTATTTTAATAAATTCAGTGACAGGAAGCGTGGATAAACAGACCGACAGGCTAAGAGCTAGGACAAAACAGAGGAGTTGCTATCATAACATACTTTAAAAGTTCATCACATCGTAGTTGGTTTCACTGTATGCTGTTAATTACATACACACGTGAAACGATTTTGAGTGGGATTGTTTTAACCCTTTGATGCATAATGGTCACTACAGTGGACAGGTACTCAAAATTGTTATTTATTGGTTTTTGCTATTAAGCACAGCTGTTGAAGACTTTATTGCATTTGAGCCCCTCCATTTGGACTTCAGTAAGTCAAGCCAACATATTTCATGTTCAGAATGCACGCTGTCCACTGAGGTTGACATGTAATAAATTATTTGTAAATTATAAAATTTTACAAAAAATATTTGTTGAAATTTGTTTCATTCACACCCAAAGACCAATGAAAAAATTGTTTAACAAAATCATGGTTGAAGATTTCATAATTCATGCATCAAAGTGTTAAAGCTAGTTTTGGCTTGCTTTTAGCACTCCCTAGTGTGCGTTTGTAGAACCAAAACCTACCTCGTTGCTGTGCATATGTCGTTTTAACACCTTAATCTAACAGCAGAAATGTCTCCCAGCCTTCCTTAGTGTCTAGAGGGGTGAATCATCACTAAATGAAACAAATCAGCTGTGTTCATGATCTAAAACATGCAGGAAACGTGCTGGAATCCGACTGCAGCACCAAGTATGTCAGCTCAATTTCTTCTAAGTCCAACAGAACGGACCGACACTCTGAAGTTGCAAGCGCAGGATTCTGGCCACAGGGGACAGTGGGGGTCTGAGAGACTTTTCATTGCCACTGTAAATGGTCAACGTGGAAGTAGAATAATCTGGCCACAGGGGGCAGTTGCAGCTGGGTGGCCTTTAATTACCTTGTAAAGAATGATTTTAGCACATGCTGGCTAAAGAAAATGATTTAAAAATATGAAAAATTTGCTAAGTATACATTTAAGATGGCAGCAGTCTATTTATGACTCTGCATTCTTTTGACTAGCCATTAGCATGTCAGTCTATCAGAGTTAACCTCCAAACTGAGGTAAATCAAAGAGTCATCCGAAGCAGTTGGGATATCAGTTTCTCATAACTCATGTTTAGAAAGATCACAACAGTTTCTTTACGTTTTCATGATAGCAGCATGACATTTTCTTAAACAGGTTCTTGCTGAGCTGCATGAGTGTTGTGAAAATCTTAGTTTTATATTACCTCACTAAACACCAGATCAGAGCAGCAAGCACCACAACACAGGTCGGCACAACTATATAGCCATGTGCTTTCCCGCTAGGTGTGTGTTTGTAGGGGGGTCGCTTAAAGGACAAGCTGTGGATAGGTTTACGTCAAGGGTGCCAGAGACATCTCCTCTTACAAAGCAAAGATAAGGCACAAGAGGGAGCCGTTCTCACTAATTTACACATACATGAAAGAAAGGTCATGTCTCTAAAATTAGTGGTTATTATTAATGTAATCTAGAGCAAATTTGACTGAAAATTCGAAAAAATGAGTGAAGAAAACGATAGCTATCTTTGCATTTATTTATACGTCCATTCATAATTTTAAAGAAATGTAAAAAGCGGATTGCTCCAGTTCTCACATGTTTAGACTTGAGTGGTGTGGGGTCACTGGCACAAATTTCAAAGGTCAAGAACATGTTCCACGTCAAGTTAAAGGTCAGAGGACTGTCTGTAGTCTAGCACCTCCAACCACCCTTTTATATGAGTCAGCTCTGTGACAGCTAAAATACATCACAGAGAACATATACTAACACACATTCAGTTGAATATTTATTGTCAATGTCAAATTTATGTAGATTTAAATATGTTGTTGGCATTTCTAATTTTCAAAATTGGAGCCAGTTTTAGTCCTTCAACCCAGAGAGATCAGCATGAACATCATCACACTAGACACCCATTAACCATTCGTAGGTTAAATACTGTCAGATATGTACGCCAGCCTAAGTCGGTCTACCTATTATCATTTCAAGAGTTTAAATACTCTCAACACCTTCCAATGTCCTGCTGTCCCCTAACACCGCTTTAGAAACCATCCACTCACCCTGGGCATCTCCCCCGGAAGTTAGCACAGCAATCGCTCGGCCTTCGCCCATCTTTGTGGGGTCGACGGCAACCTGGTGTGCCATGGTCCTGGAGCTGAAGCTGACTGATAGAAAGAGGCAGTGAGAGCTGCTGAACTGGGGGAGCACAAGGTATCTCTCCAGTAACTCAACCTGCCTGTTATGGAAAGTCAGAGCAGTTGCATAAGTGCCCAGCTTAAATGCCCCATTGGCAAACGTGGAGGCACACATAGCTGTGACGCATTTAGACACACACACACACACACACACACACACACACACACACACACACACACACACACACACACACACACACACACACACACACACACACACACACACACACACACACACACACACACACACACACACACATGCACGCATGCACACACAGGCCTTAGCAGTGCCTATCAAAAGTATTTACCACCTTTTATCTTCAAGATATTTTTTTAAAACAAGAATTGTTGGAATGTGTTCAAACCTCAGAAAATGTTCAATTTAATACCAATTAATGATGATGTTAAAACTGGTCCACATGACATTTACTGAACGTAATATTTTCCTACTTTGAGGCATGGGAATTAAAATTCTTAATGCAAGCCCTAGTTCTAAAACTTTTTTCCAGTGTGAACCTTCCTTGCGTGCAACTGTACAACTATTACAATCTGCCACTGACTGAAGAATAAACTTGAATATTAAAGCAATTCCTTGGCTACAGAAGCTGGTTCTCAGTATGTGAAATGTTACCTCTCTGGTGGGGAAGGAGCCTGAGGTTCCAGCTGGATATCGGACTCACTTCAACGCGTGGCTCTGGCTCCAGAACCAGTTTCCTTGAGAAGGGCTGGACACTCTACCACTCTGAGAGGAGCCAACCAGGGGTAGGCGTACAAGTTGCCCCCATCTTGGTGCCTGTACGTTAGGGTTTACCCCAGTAAACGAGAGAATAGCCTCCCTCCGCCTACGAGTGGGGGGGATGGATCTTGATTGTGGTTTGTGCAATTGCACCAGAATATAGCTCAGACCCACCCTTTTTGGAGTATGTGTTCTTGGCACCAGGATACCTTAGGCCGCAGCTCAATGATCAACTTTGTTGTTGTTTCATCTGACCTGCGGCTGGATATCTTAGACACTCAGGTGAAGAGATGGGCGGAGCTGTCAACTGACCACTACCTGGTAGTGAGTTGGCTTCAATGGTGGCTGAGGATGCTGGTCAGATCTGGCAGGCCCAAACTTATTGTGAGGGTCTTCTAGGAACGTCTAGCGGAGTCTCCTGTCAGAGGAAGTTTCAATTTCCAACATCGACAGAAATTCCAGAATGTTCCTCTGGAGGCAAGGGACATTGAGTCCGAGTGGGCCATGTTCCACGCTTCCATTGTTGAGGCGGCCGACCGGAGCTGTGGCTGCAGGGTCGTGTGTGCTTTGGGTTGGGCTCTCCAATCTTCGGTGCTGAAGTCACTGAGGTGGTCAAAAGCTCCTTGGTGGCAAGGCTCCGGATGTCATAGGGCTGTGTTGGCTGATGCGGGTCTGTAATATCTCGTGGACATCGGGGGCAGTTTCACTGGACGGAAAACTTGTCCCCCATTTAAAAAGGGGGATTGCAGGATGTGTTCCAACAACAGGGCGATCACACTCCTCAGCCTCCCTGGTAAAGTCTATTCAGGGGTTCAGGAGAGGAGGGTCCATCAGATTGTCAAACCTCGGATTCAGGATGAACAATGTGGTTTTCATCCTGGCTGTGGAACACTGGACCAGCTCTATACCCTTAGGGGGGTCTGGAGGTTGTGTGAGAGTTCGCCCAACCAATCTACATGTGTTTTGTGGATTCGGAAAAGGTGTTCGATCACGTCCCTTGAGAGGCCCTTTTGGAGGAGTATGGGGTACCAGGTCCTCTAATACGGGCTGTTAGGTCCCTATATGACAGGTGTCCTGTTGGCTTCATTTGAACGTGATCGCTGGCTCTCACTGGAGAGGTACGCAGCTGAGTGTGAAGCAGCTGGGGTGAGAATCAGCTCTTCTAAATCCGAGACCAGGTCTTGAGTCGGAAAAGGGTAGAATGCCTTCTCCATAACAGTGATGACGTCCTGCCCCAAGTGGCGGAGTTTAAGTACCTCGGGGTCTTGTTCAAGAGTTGTACTGATCTGTCGTGGTGACGAGAGAGTAGAGCCGGAAGGCAAAGCTCTCGATTTACCAGTCGATCTACGTTCCAACCCTCACCTATAGTCATGAGATGTTAACGTTCCTTAAACCTGTTTGGAACATGCATTAACTGAACTTTCTTAAAATTATGGAGATGTCTGAATAAAAAGTTAAAAATTATTATCATCATAATAATGTGTTTAAATCATTATTTTGCCCTATATCAAATCCCTTAAAATAAAAAAGAAAAAGAAAAAAAGACAAACAATCATTGTAATTTGTCAAATGTCTGTTAATGCAACTAATGGGACAGTACTGAGACAAAACAAAACATTTTTAAATATATTTTATTAGACTGGGGTCAATTCAAATATGCTTCCACTTAAGCTTATTTTTAGTTTATTTAAAAAATTCATCTTTTTGTTTTTAAACCTTTCAATAATCATGAAGCTCTGTCTCTGTATCATTGTGTATGTTTTAAATTCATTTAAGGTGTTAAACTTCTCTGTTTTTTTCTGTTTCATGTGGTCTGTAACTTTGACCCAAATCATTCGGATGTTCCAGTGCTTTTGCACTTTGTTTTATATATATATATATATATATATATATATATATATATATATATATATATATATATATATATATATATATATATATATATATATATATATATATATATATGTGTGTGTGTGCTGGCTATATGGGGCAGCAGTAGCTCAGGTGGTAGAGCGAGTTGCCTCATGATCGGAGGGTCATGGGTTCGATTCCAGCTCCCGCCAGGGGTATCCTGCTGTTGTGTCCCTGGGCAAGACACTTCACCCAACTTGCCTGTGTTAGTGGTGGACAGAGGGGCCGACGGCGCCAAATGGCAGCCTCGCCTCTGTCAGACCTCCCCAGGGCGGCTGTGGCTACATGTAGCATACCATCACTAGCAGTGTGTGAATGTGAGAGTGTGTGAAAGCGTCTTTGGGTGTCTAGAAAAGCGCTATATAAGTTCAATGCATTATTATTATTGTATATATTACTGTTGTTGTATTCTGACTTACCAGCATCCTCTGCTGAATCAAAATTTGAGCAGGCCTCACCTTCACATTCAGCTGCAGAGATGTTGCCATCACCACCTGAAGAATGAAAAAAAAAACATTAATTTGCCCAAACGAAACATAACTCAGTCCAACCTGCAAGATGTCGTCTTACACGTTAAACCTTCTCTACATAAGACAAGTTGCTCTTTTATTCATATTGTTTCTCATGGAAATAAATACAACCTCTATCTGTTCATTGCACCTTGGTCTACTACTCCCACTAGCCTTATCTTGTGCTTCACAAGCTTGGTTTGTGGGTTGGTTACTGAGTGATCAGGCACAAAAAAGTGCCTAAAAGACATTTTTGCTTTTCTTTTTCTGATCAGAAAACAACACAAGGCTAAAACTGCTCAGATACACTCAAAGTTTGTACACATCATGGTTGGTGGGTTTTTTTTTGGGGGGGGGGGGGGGGTGCTTCTCAAAGACACAGCTATCAGGTAGATAACTTTACATTTTTAAGTCCAACAGCATGACAAAAGAAGTAGTTGTTTGATGCATGCATTTATAAAGCAGACACTGATTGTGGCGGCAGCTGCAGACTGACTGTAGACTCAAGATAGACAAGCAGCTGTCTTAAAAACTCACTGTAATGCCCTTCCCTTATTAGCCTCCATTACTGTAAAACTGCAGAGTCATCCCTGGAACTTAACTTTTATCTGAAGCCTGTGTATAAACTACAACCTTCAAAATTAGCAGTAAAACCCAGAAAGGTGTGGCTTTTCAGAAATGCATTCAGAACAGCATTCTAGATAATGCAGAGTTGGTCAGAACTTAAACATTTACACATAATGCAGACTTTATGGGAGGCTCACTATACCACTAGGACACAAAGTCACAACATTGACGTACCTTGACCCTTATTTCTGACCCAAAGCAGCAGACCCACAAACAGCCCCACACAGAGGAACTGCAGGGCCGAGAAGACACCAGGGTACCACATCCTCACAATGACTCAGTCCGACGAAACCCACCGTGGATCGGATTCGTATTAATAGCCTTGACATCATTTCTTCATTGCGGAGTAATGACCTTTATTGTTAGAGCATGTTGAGTACACAAATACAGCCCTGCAGTGCCTGGACCAATCTGATAATCGATGTCCAAACGTCAAGATTTTACAGAAGGGTTTCTTGAAGGTTTTGCTTTTGGTGGATTTTTATTGAGTCCAGCAGCTTTTTGGATGGGCCAGGGCTAAAGAAGGCTGGTAGACAAAAACCCATAGGAGGATTTTGTTTTTGGTCTACATGGTTACAAAATAATAAATAAAGGCATTTAAATCATTTTAAAAGAGAAAGTTCTTTTGAATCAAAATATTATATTTTTTCATAAAACAAAAAGAAGAGGGTTAAAGGTTGAAAAAGTCATAATTATAGAATGAAATCAGAAAATACTTTTGAACTGTGTATTTAACGTCTGCTTCATCACTTAAAAGCCCAATGACAAACCAAACAGGGAAATAACGGATCTTCTTTCATCTTCTTCAGCCTTGCAATGGCTAAGGAGGCGGTCTCATAGAGTGGGGCTGTTGGGCAAAATGCAGTCAGAGATTTTCACGCCACTGACGATCTGCAGAAGATAGTTATGCTGCAAAGTGACACTGGTGTGAATGTCATACCAGAACAGAATGAGATTACAATCGTGAAGCACAGACAGCTTTGCAATGTGAAAACACACACACACACACACACACACACACACACACACACACACACACATGCACATGCGCACACACAGAAATGAATGAACACACACACACACACACACGCATGCACATGCGCACACACAGAAATGAATGAACACACACACACACACGCATGCACATGCACACACACAGAAATGAATGAACACACACACACACACACACGCATGCACATGCGCACACACAGAAATGAATGAACACACACACACACACACACACACACGCATGCACATGCGCACACACAGAAATGAAT